CTGCTGTTGTAAATTCAAAAGAAGAAAAATAATAAGGTAGTTAGAAGAAATCATGTGTAGTTCTCTTACCTCAAATATGTTTTTAGAAGACAAGAAGGGGTTCGTACAGGTGTTTTCACTAAACAAGAGAACATACCATAAAATATCTGAAGTTAGCTTTTAAGATGAATGAAACTTAACTTTTTATCTTCTTCACAATTATTTCACTCATATACTTAATGCCTAGTTTAATTAAGTTTATCTTCAATTGACCTAGTATTATTTCATTCAGGCATATGAAATATATGAGTGTGTATTTCCCCTGGAATCCTTTTAATTAAACTTTCAATAGAATAATAAATGGTAGAAATACCTTTTAGTAACTCTTTTTTTTTCCTTTTCTTTTATTATTCATATGTGCATACAAGACTTGGTTCATTTCTCCCCCCTGCCCCCACCCCCTCCCTTACCACCCACTCTTCCCCCTCCCTATCCCCCCCACTTACCCAGCAGACAACTGTTTTTGCCCTTATTTCTAATTTTGTTGTAGAGAGAGTTATAAGCCATTAATAGAAGCGAAACAAGTTTGCTGGTTGAGATAGGATAGCTATTTACAGGGCCCGTTGACTCACATTGATTTTCCTGTGTGTGGGTGTTTACCCTTTTTTTTTTTTTTTTCTTTAGGCCCTCAACAATCCTCCACCCCTACCTGGCTCCAACTGTTCCAGGCTTCACTCCAACTCATGAACCTCACCACATCCATTACTGTCATTGACTGCTTTCTTTGTGCCTCCTCCAGCGTCATTCTGCTGGCTGCAGTTCCCATTTAATGCTTCATCTTCTATCAAGGCTTCCCCTGCCTTACAAAACTCCTCATGCGCCCCTTCCTTGCATCGGTACCTCTATGGCACCTGACTCTACACAAGTCTTCCCCTTCCTACACACCTTGTTATACCCAGGTCTCGAACATCTCAGTCCAACTTTTCTCTCTCCTGTTTATATCAACATCACCAGTTACAGCACAACTGGCGTCCCCCTCGGGGGTATATTTTCTGGTGCCACGACACCCTACACTCCTGCATAAACCAAACTACTCCAGGCCCTGCATACTGGTAATCCATAGTTCCCCAACTTACTGTTTATGGGAAGCTGAATTCTCCCTCCTATTCGGCGCTCCACCAAAGCGCGCTGCCTTCTTGCCATCATGGTGGGTATAAGTTGGCAACCTCCGTTGCTGCGCAGGCTTTCGCGAGGGAGCTCTTGGCCATAGTGTTATTTCAGCAAGGGACTTTGAGGAGCCTACAGATCACTTCGAGTCCACCTTCGGCCTCACTGCCTCCCTTCAGCGTCAGCTCACCTCTCTAGCTCAGGTGGCCCTCCAAATCGTAGGGCCCTGGACCTCTTAATAGCAAAAAGGGGGTACCGTTTCTTCCTCCGGGAGGAATGTTGCTATTATGTCAATGAGTCCGGATTGTGGAACAAAATGTCAACAGGTTAACAACTTGGCCGAGGACCTCCTAAGGGACCAGTAAAAACACCTTAACCGACCTGCTGAGCTCTCCTCTGTCACCCTGGCTCCTGCCTTTCTTGGGTCCTTTGCTTATGCTCATTGCTCTCTGCGCCCTCCTTACCCTGTTACTCCAGTTTCTTCAGATCTCAGGTGAGCAGAATCTCTAACCAAACTTTCAACCAGCTTCTCCTTCAGCGACATCACCCCCTCATAGCTCAGCCGGAGGACACGAGCGATGAACCCTACCGGGACACTGGACTATGAGCCACTTCAATCTCTTACAAGGTGCCTACTGCAGTTCCTTGAATTCCCTACGTGAAGGACAGCTGGCTAATACCTGCCATACGAGGCCAGAGGAGTGGCTGAGACCATTTACGATCTGGCTACAGGGAACCTTTATCGATTCAGGGAGGAGGAAATTTTCACCTTTGGAGCCTGGGTGTATGCCGTTATGAGACTCACTACCCCAACCCATCTGCCAACTAACCCTCCCTTCCCCTACCCGCCCCTTGCCAGCTCGAAGAAGCCAGAGCGAACGCAACGCCCCCTTCCTTAACAAACAAAAAAAGGGAGGAATGTTGACAAATAATGCCGATAGGTTTCAGTTCTACTGCACCCTTAAGTTCTGTTTTTCCAGGGCACGGTCCTGCCTCTCAGGGTCACAGTCCTGCCTCAAGTCTAGCTTGACCCTCCTTTCTGCCCAACCTCCAATCAGCATGAACCATAAGATCCTACCAATCAGATCATGCGAGTCTCACTGAGGGTATTTAAGCCCCTGCCCCTCTCTCCCTCTCTCTCTTGGCTCTCTCTGCTCTCTCCCTCTCCCACCCGGCAATAAAGAATCTCTTGGCCAGATCACTGCTCTCCACGTGGTCATTTGGGGCCTATATTTCCTTACAGTAAGGTATGGGGGAGAGTAAGCATTCTTTAAGCTTATTAATGAATCTCAGTCTTTCAGTGGGCCTGTGCCCTTAGGTTGTGACTTCAACAAGTGTTTCTTAGCTTTTTTTCCCACTACCCTTCATTGAGACAGGAAGGTTGGGGGTTGGGGAGAGAGAGTAGAATTGGAGAAATAACCTTCCCCCAGAAGCTCTGCTAAACCCTTTTCCCTTGGAGAGTAAGCATGTGTTACAGAGAAGGTATTTTTCTGAGTATTTTCACGATGTTAATTCTTCCCCTCCTCCTGCCAGAGCCACTGGCAAATCTTTCTTAGCTCTTTACTATGAGAACCTGGTAGGGAATCCTGGAGGTAAAATTCACAACAGTAAAAACTGTTGTAGCTAAGGAGTTTCTTATATTTAATCTAGTACACACTCAGCTTCCATTAATTTGTTAAAATTACTATTTAAGTGTTCTGCCAACTGTTAGGTAAAAATTTTGAGTCCATTAAAAAATATAGATCCCTGCACTGGTCCCAATTGACCAAACTAAAGATCAAAGTGGAGTCACCCATGCTAAAGTTCCATATCACCAACCTAAGTTGTTCTGTGACCTTCAAGAAATCAGGAGAGAGATAACAGCCAACATTTCCAAGTAGGCCAGTTTCACTTTCCATGATTATGATATCTGCATTAAACCTACACAAAAGGTAACCTGACATTAACTATTCCATCATTTTTCTTTTGCTCTGTCTCCCTATCCCTGTCCTGCAAAAGAAAAGTAACTTTGAAATAACCAGTCCATGTTTTGCTCTTAGTTTCTGCTTTTTTTTTTTTCCCCCAGCCCATGGCTTTTGAATATAAAACCCACTTCATCTATTCAACCCCAGTAATACTTATTCTATTTTATGGAATGAAGTTCTGCCTGATTCTAGAATCTTATACAAAGCCAATTCAGATCTTTAAACTTGTAATTTTGTCCTTTGACACAGTTTTGATTCTAGTAGCTTCTGCTTCAGGTAAGCAGATCTCAGCTGTGACCTTCTGAATTTGTCTGTCTCTTCAGATTTCAGGGTATTTTTACCCCAAGCCTTTTTTTTTTTTAATGGATCCAAGAGGTTGTTGATTTTCATTTTTTTTTTCTTTCTGTGAGGACAGGAATGATGATTTACTGGCTTTCTTTATGTTGGAGCTAAACCCAGAATTCTCCTTACTGCATTTAAATTTACTATACTTTTTGTTTTACTTTCTTCTAAGAGTAGTCTTAGCTCTTATATTTAGTTCTACAATCTATTTTGAATTAATTTTAGTGAATGGCATCAGGAATCGGTCTAACTTTATTAACTTAATTATTTATTTTTGCATGTGGATTTCCAGTTGTCCCAGTATCACTTGTCTTTCAGTGTATCTTTTCCCCATCAAGTTGTCTTAGTGTCTTTGTTGAAAATAATCAGTTGATAATAAATTTAAGTGTTACTTCTACACTCTCAGTTCCGTTTCACTGATTTACGTCTACCCTTAACATTAGCACCACAGTATCTTGATCACAATAGCTTGGTAGTGAGTTTAAGTTTTGAAATCAGGAAATACAAATCCTTGATCTTTGTTCTTCAAAATTGTCCTGTTTATTCTGGATTCTTTGTAGTTCCATGGGAATTTCAGCTTCAGTTTATTTGTTTCTGCATAAAAGGTAGTTGAGATTTTGATGTGATTGCACTGAATCTGCCAATTTGGGTAGAGGTATCTTCCCATTTATTTAGATATTTAATATATTTTGATAAAAAGTTCTGAAATGTCCTACATTTAATTACAGAAGATGGACATAGATGAGGTAAGTTAATCAGTTAATAGCTGCAGTAAAACCAAAAAAAGTTTTTCACATTCCTGAGTACAGGCTGAGACCTTGATTTAAATCCCATCACTACCAACAACCTGTTGCCTTATTTATATATTTACTTTCTGAAGTATTAACTCCACCCAATCCAGAGCAACAATCACTTCTCTGTATGAATCAAACTTCAGATCTATTATGTAGAGGAGGTATTACAATTGTTCTCATTATTTTAAAGAGAATTAGGATGAACGAGTCAGTCAGAATTGTTTATCTTTAAGGTTTCTTCACTGTTTTGTTATGAGAGAGGGCAGATTGAGGACGGTGAATGAAATTGAGCAGGACACATGGTTTTATTTCAAAAGCTCCTTAGCAATGGAGTGAACTGTATGCAGTTGAGTAAACTACTTGTCACCATATGTTGTCAAAGGTTTGGAGGAGCCTGGACTCTGTGACGAGTAGAGGTAAGACTAGACCACTCTCAAGGGTGTTTTCTGCTGTAAGATTCAGAGACGAGAATGAAGCTACTAGACAATAAGATGAAATATTCTTTTTTTTTGATGGGATAAAATTATAAGAAGACAAATTGACATAAAATGTATATCTATTGGTTTCCCCTATGCATTTCTAGAGCTAGAGAGAAAAATTAAAATTTAAATCTCAGACTTTCTGGGAGGTGAATTATTGTTTGACCATCTGATTTCAAGGTAGTCTAGTTTCTTATGTGTAGATTTTGTTGTATTGCTCACATTTAGCTGATAGGTGACCACTTATTTCTGTCTTTAATTCCTATTTTGCTCACCCAAATATTGATTAGGCAATGGTCTTCTGAAATAATCAGCTATGTAATCACCTGGTACATCTGGCCTTGTATCTACAGAAGATGGTAAAAGATCATAGTAGCATGAAAATAATTGATTAATCATTTACATTTCATATTTTTAATTTTTTCAAAACAAAAAGTGCTAACAAGTAATGTAAAAATAGTAGTTTAGATGAATGAAATTAACATAAACAGTCTTCAAATTTATGAATTCTTGTTACAGTAAAATTCATACCTTTTGGGCCAACAATTCCTTTTCTAGGAATTTATTAAAAAGATATAATTAATAATACACACAAATAGCTAAAAGGTTTTCATTGTTATTTAGAATAGAAAAAGTTAGAAATAAAAGCTTACAGAGGAAGTGGCTAAATAAAAATTCATTAATAGAATGGAATAGTTTGCTGTCATTAACATCTAAAAAGATTATAATATACTGTAATTTCAAATAAAAAAGTCACTAGATAACAAGAAGATTATATGACTCATTAACATGGAGTCTATGCATACAGATTTAGAAAAAATCTGAAACGCTTGAAAGGTGATTTTTACTTTCTCTAGCTTATCTTTATTTCTAATTTTCTGACATTAAAATTTAACAAAAGCATATATAAAAGTTACATATAACAAGTGGATGAATTGTTTGGCTGACCACTATCAGAAAGAATAAAGTTCAGGTGAATTAACCATCTTCACTTAATGGAATCTCCCCTTTCCCTGGTGTGGTTTGTACTTCCATTTTTATTTTTAATTAACTTACTATTTCATAAAGTAAATGGATGTATGCACATATGTATATATATCTATACATTTTTCATTAGGTTACCTTTCATACCTTTTTGAAAGTAGGTATGATATAAAGACAATCAATTATAGTCTATACAAGCATAAAATTAAATAATTATTTTAGATAAAATTAGAATAGTACTTAAATTATATGTTTTTTCCAAAGGAACTCAAATATAAGATGATAGAAGTTGAGGAAAAAATACCAGAGGGCAAGGCATGGTGGTGTATTTCTGTAATTCCAGCTACTCAGGAGACAGAGATCAAGAGGATCATGGTTGGAGGCCAGCCCAGCCAAAAAGTTAGTGAGATCCTGTCTTGACAAACAAGCCAGGAATGGTGGTGCATGCGTGTCAGCTCAACTTCCTGGGATGCACAATAGGAGGATTGCAGTCCAAGGCTGGTCCCTGGGCAAAATGTGAGACCTTCTCAAAAAAAATAAGTAAAACAAAAAAAGGTCTAGGAGTGTGGTTCCAGTGGTAGAGAACTTGCCTAGCAAGTGTGAGGTGTAGAGTTCAAACCCCAATACTGCCAAAATAATAAAAATTCCGGAGATGTTAGCGAGTCAGTGAAAGACCCACATTAGACTTAGCTTGCAGTAAAAACAAATGAATAGTCTAGTTTAATTTCTCTCCTGGGATCATATTTTATTAAGTTATGAAGTGAGAGAAATGAAATGGTTTTTAAAATCTTTAAAAATCTTAGGGATATGCCTCAAATACAGACCTCTCTGCTCCTCCATGAAATGGACCACTCCTTCCTTTCTGTCTGCTCCCTAGGAGCTCTGGACAGACTGGTACATTGTACCTGCAACACTGTTTTTTACTTGTCTTTTCCCTGGTTAAAAGATAGCTCATGAGGATAGAAGTGGTGTCATATACTTCTTACTATCCTTAGCACCAAGCACAGTGGCATCCTCAAGTTGTGGCACAAATAGTGTTGAGTAAATGAATTAATTGTTTATGAGAAGGTAGAAGCAGAAAATTACCTTTCACATCAGAATTTGCTTCTTCACATCTTTGCAGCAAATGTTTATTGCCATAAACCTAATGGAACGGAGAGTCAGAAAGAAAAGAATACTATATTATAAATGTGAAAGCAGAGTACATTTCCTGTAACAGTATGATGGGTTTTCAACAAACATTTTTCATTTTATTTTTATGGGTTTAAAATGGTCAAAAAATCTCATAAATTGAATCCCCAATGTATCTTACAATACTACTTTTCTCATGGATCAATACATAGAAGAAAAATTTGATGTTACTTTCTTTTGGTACCAAAGGAAGTTAAAAATTTTCCCACTTCATATAGAACTTAGATATATTGAGAAAGAGATAAAAATGTATGCTTGTAATCTCACTTATTTTAATTAGAAGTTAATAAGTATAGGAAGAATGTGAAATAGGTAAAAATACATAAAATTATATGAATTCTACAAACATATTGCAAAAGTATGCCTATGTACAAAAAATGCAAAATATTTTCTTGAAGTTTGTAAAGAAATTCAGAACAAGAAGAGCATAAACATATGACATTGCTTTATGTCTGCCAGTATGACCCAGGTGGGCTAAAAGAGACAAACACAAGATTGTGACTTTAATCACGAGTAGTCTGTAAATCATTATGTAACCATGAAAACATTTTAAATGTTTCCAAACTTTTGCTGTTCTACCTGTAATATTTACAAAGAATTTTTGGAAAGATCCTGAGGAAGAAAAATGAATTTAAAACATTTTTGTCAACATACACTGCATTTAAATACAAAAAGTAGACTATGAAACAACAAAACAAAAGTTTGGGTGTGGTAACACACACCTGTAGTCCCAGCTACTTAAGAGGCTAAGGCAGGACGGTCACTTGATCCCAGGAGTTTGAGACCAGCCTGGGCAACACAGTGAGACCCCATCAAACAGAAAGGAACAGAACAGATCAAACAAATAAAAAAGCATCACCCTCCCCAACAACAAAACACATACAGACAAAAACAAGAAACAGAGCTGAAAGCTAAAATCCACTTTTTACAGATATAATCAGTGCAGCAAAAAAAACTGACACAATCTTTATGAAAATTGGAGTAAAAAAGAAAAAAATAAAAACTTGATTGTGGAAGGGAGCAAGAAAAATATTCTAGAAAAAATTAAATAAAGCAAAGTACCAGTATTACTAATCACTAAAATTTGGTGAGACAAGTGGTAAAATCAGGCTGAATTAGGCACTTGTAATAAGGTCTGATTCAATGAACTCTTGGTACAATTTTTAGACCTTATCTCTTGAGGGAAATGATGCTGTGAGCCAGAATAAACTATTTTATGATAGAAAACAGAAAAATATCATTAGGTCAGTGATCTTGGGAACATACAACAATTTTTAGCCATAATAATCTGTAATTGTTTTTGCTAAAAGTAAATTTTAGGAATGTATTTATAAACAACTTGATTTAGAAATAGGCTAAGCTCAAAAACATGGATTTAAGCTGTCCTCAGCCATATTACCTCAGTTAAGATTGTTTACTCACATAATTAGAAATTTCAGATAGTGATCAGGAGCTATTAGCTTTTTGGCACCTTTAGAAAGGTATGCAACTTTGTAAAAGCATTTGACCAAACGACAATTATTTTCCATTTGGAAACATCCAAAATTAAATACAGATTATGATTCATAACCAAGGTTGAAGCTACAATCAAGAAAGAGTCAAATAATGAAGCATCTAATATAAAGAAACTTCATATTTTACATTAAATAGCTTACATGAAGAAAATCACCATGTGGAAATATTTGTGAGAACTAAGTTAAGTATGTTCTTAAAATGGTATACATACAAAAGACAAATCTCAAAACAAAATCTCTACTTTGTTCAATGGTCCTGCAAATAGCACAGCCGAGAACAATTAGAGGGTTGTTTACTACAAAAATAATTTAAAAAATCTTATTCATGACCATATAGCATTATTGAAACACTATATTCCAGAATGTAGAACCGATTGGTGGCTGATGGGACTATTTGTGGGTCAACGGGGAGCAAGGATGGCTGTTACAAGGGGTGGATGAGGGATGCATGGTGTGGTAAGAGTCTGTATCTTGAATGTGATGATAGTTTCTGCATAGAAATATATATGCACACACGTGTACAATTTGAGGCCTTCATGCTCATAATCGAATAAGATCTGTGGGCTGCATCAATGTATGTACAATACATAATGTTGACTGTATTTATGCTAGATGCTAACATTGGTTAAGGAGTAATGAAGGTGCACAGGACCTCCTGCACATGTTTTGGTATTTTATTACTTCTTATGAATCTATAATTATTTCCAAATAAAAACTAAAAATAGAATTAAGTAAGGAATAGAGAAAATACTTTCAAAAGTTTGTGGGAAACTAGGTTCTGTTAACTCAATTCATCTTTGGTAAATGACACTGTATTTGGTGTGCAATGAATAGATGTGTTATTGCTCACTTTAAATTTTCCTTTGGTACATGGTCACCATTATTAACACAGGAAATATTTTCAAAGTAACTTCTCATATATTTATTTGTTTGAATGTTTGAATATAAATCTAATCTTCTGGATGAAGCACCCAACTTCTGGGTTCTTTGCACAGGTAACAGATGCTTAAGGATTGAATGATTGATCTTGTCAAGTAAGGATATCATTTTAATTGTTCTTCATTTTGTAATATTTGGTTGTTTTGTCAGCCTTGTTTCTTTAAACAAGTTCTACTGAACTCTAAGTTGAAAAGAACTTCCCCCACCTCCACCACCTCTTCTAGGACTTGTTATTATAGTTGCTTATTTGGTTAGTGATTGGCTAGATTATTGTAGTGAAGTCTATTTCCCCTCTTCAGTGCTAAGCCTCTAAAGTGTCCACAGGGGTGTAGACTGGGTATTGGCCACATCACACTGTTTGTGACAGTTGTTTTGGTAGGGCTTTCTGTCCTTGTCCACATGCAGCTATTAAACTCCACTAATTTCTGGCTGATTGCCTGGGACTAAACTTGCTCTTCAGACTATTTTTTGCATTTCCTTAGACAGGATAGTTTCGGAGGGTCATGTTTGGGATTTCCAGAGGACTCGTTCAACTTTCCTCTTTCACATTTCTCTCTGGCAATGGCAAGTAGCCAGCACACAGTTCATCTATATTTCCATGAATCTACAATCTCCTCCCAAACTGGCTTTTTTGGTGGCACTGGGGTTTTGAACTGAGGGCCTCACTCTTGCTAAGCAGGAGATATTACCACTTGAGCCACTTACCAGCCCTTTTAAGCAGAGTTTTGAGATGCTCTTAAGCTTGACCTTCTCCAGGCTCTGGTGCCAATGAAGTCCAATTTTTTGGGTAAGAGATTAGGAAGCTATCTGTTCTATGGGGTGCGTTCTCTATCAAGGCAAAATTCTAAGCCATGACTCTGGAGCTGCGGGTGGAGACAATGGCTATTCTTCTGAAGTGATACCAACACTTTAAAAGCCCAGTTGTAGGTGGAGAGAGGGCAGTAGACTTTCCTCTCCCAGAGTAGAACCACCATTTTGCAAGCCAAGGCAAGAGCTTATAAAGTACTGTTAGTGGTATAGCACTCCTGAACGAAGTCTGGGCAGAAGGGAGCTCCTTCTTGTTGTCTGCACTCACCTGGAACTTAGCCTCAGCAACAGGTAACTGGAGGCAGGTATGAAATGGTGATGTTCTGCTCCTTCTGGGAAGGTAGCCTTCTGGTAGCTGTGGGGAGAAGGGTCTCTGTTTTCTTGGCTGCACTAACCTGGAGTGGACTTTTTGTTTTCCTGAGCCAAGGTGTAGAGGGACCCCTGGATTCCGATGCCACAGGCTCTCACTGTTTTTAATGAATTTAAGGAGATTTTTCTTGGATAGATATTTTTTTCTGAATTTCCTGTATGTCCTTAGGACTATTTCTAGAGGTTTTAAATGGTTGCATTTTGTTTTATTTTGTTAAATAGTATTCACCAGTTTTGCAGGTGAGTGGATGTGCTGAGCTCCTCCTGCTGTCATGTAGAAGTCTAACTCTCAGTATTGTCTATTTTCACTTCATTACACTCTCATTTAGTTTTTCTTAGTTCTAGTATCTTTCTTCTTGCTATCTAGCTTCATCTCGAAGCTTCCTCTCGAAGCTTCCTCAATTACTTTTTGAGTAAAGTAAATATAAATGAAATTTAAATATAGTACATTAGTAAATCCTGCCTCTCATTTGTCAAGGATCTTTTGAGGTTTTATAAACAGGAGATAATACAAGCAAAATGTAATCATTACCCTTTCCTGAGAAAAATTAGGGTATAAGAAAAAAGAGAGAAATAACTTGCCATCCTTTTAACATTCATTTCTTCCAAAAGCTCTGAAAACCAGAGTAATAAAGGTTTACCTCTTCTTTGGCATTTTGGTGGCATGCTATTGCTGCATTTCTTTCCTTCTTTGTTTTCAGATGTTTTTTCTTGTTTTTTTATCTGGGTAAAAGAGCCATATTTAAAATTCAGTAATTTAATCAACATATCAAAGACAGTACTATTGAAGACATAAAACTATCTTTGAGACTCCCACTTTCAGAAGACGGAGTAGTATCCTTTTTCCTTCTACTAAGAGGAAATAAAGCACCTGAGATATCAATACAAAGCAAACATAAGCTCTAAAAGGTAAATTATTGGTGCTCAATCAAGAAACATTTCCCTATGACACAACAGCATGTATTAATATCTTGCAATAAAATTTTTGGCTAGCATATATGCGAAGCCTGTAATTCATTCTTGGCACCATGAGAAAATAAATTTTGAATTGTTTGGTTCATTGTTTTGAATAGAAGTACTCATTATAGGTCTTTTTCTCTGTTTCATAATTATAGGTTGGATGTGTGTGGGGAAAGGGGCAGATAAGTTTGTGCTGATATTTCACAGGTTCTGGTTCAAGAGAGAGTAACTCCTCACTGAAGTGGATATGAGGTGGATTTTATGGCTGATACTATAATGGGATGAGATTTTTAGCGGTGTCCTTGGAAAAAGAACAAGTACTAGTGCATTTTGTATTTGTATTTGGGTAGGAAGTTCACCCAGAAGGTGAACTCTGGAATATTGGATTGTTGTTTCTAATTTTTCTCCTACTCTACCATATAGCTTTGTAGTACCTCCCACTATAGGTAGAGTGGTACTTCTCTATGTTGGGCTGCTATGTGACTTACTAGGGTCAACTGAATGTTAGTGGACATACTGTATGGTGTGGTTGTAATATGGTATGTGGCTGCCAAGAGGAAATATAGCCTCATTGGGACTATATTGTTTGGTTTGTCCTTGACAACATTGGGTTTTCACTATTGGGATTTTGCCTTAGGTGATCTCTGGTCCAAGAGGAATGAGAAGCATTAAAATAACTAAGCTAAATCTGCAGCCAAAGTCAAACAATAGATGACCCTATCACAGTAGACGAACTTTTAGACCATGAGTGATATAATAAAAGTTAGCTTTAAACCTGAGGTTTTGAAGTTTGTTAATAGCAAAAAGCAGCAAATATACCTTGTATCTGCTTGGCTTTACTCCCTTCACTTCCTTAATTATCATCTCTTCACTTGGTAAATCCCTTCCAAAAATACAATCTACACTAAATTCTTATTCTCTCTGCTTTAATTTCATCCTTAGGCATTTATCCCCATCTAGCAGATCAATACTTTACCTATTTATTTATTTTTATTGTGTATGTCTATCAACCAGATTTTAAGATAACAAAGGAAAAATATTAGTCTCATTTTGTTCACTGCTCTATCTCTCGCACTAAGTAAGTGCCTGACAGATAGTTGGAGGCCAATATGGAGCTGAACATAAATGTGGTAAATGAATAAGTGAATACTAGATTGGTAGCCAGGTGATGTATGTTAAGCTACCATCTTGTCCTAAGAAGTAGTGTGGTTTTTGAGAAGTAATTTAATCTTTTTGAATCTTAATATTCTTATTTATAAAATATAGCAAAAATTTTCAATCTTACCTGAGAAGTTAGCTTGAGAAGGTAAGTGTGAGAATCATTGGATTCTGAACTGTCAGAGCCTCGGCTACTAAAAAAAGAGAGAGAGAGAAGGAGAAAATAATAACAACAACAGCAATAGCAATAATATTTTTAGTTTTCAGAGTGTTTTGGTGGCATTTTAAATTTTCAATTGTTGTTTTACTTTATTATCTTACTTGAAGAGTTGAACAATTCTAATTATCAGGAATGTATTTACATAGATGACTCAGTGATGGCTCCAGACAGCTTCGAAATAGGAAATTTCTTTTGTTGAATGTGTGAGAAGATAGAAAGGTTTGGGACTCTGTTATTAGAATATAATCTCAAGAAAAGAAGGATTTATTTTTTTTCTCTCCAGCTCTTGGCTATGTCACCTAGGTGAAAATAGCACCTGGCACATAGTTGGACTCAATTATTTGTTAATATAAAAATAACAAATGCTTTATCAGGAGTTTCCTAGCTCTTATAAGTATCATTAGCTCTTAAAAATTAATTTAGTTTTACATCATTATATTTTTATTCTGTTTAAAGACAATGCAGGGTCATCCAAAACACATCACCTCAAGAAAAAAGGGTCAGCTGAGTGTTGTGGCTGTTCAAGGGAAGGGGGGAACTTAACAACTCATTTTATTACTTTGACCCATATGAAGACACCATAAGAAAAGAAAACCAAATATAAATGCAAAAATCTTCAACAAACTAAATTCAACAGCACATTAAAAGAATGTGCACATTAAAAGAATAAACAATTGGGATTTTTCCTGGGGATGCAAGGATGATTCGGTACATGCAAAGCTATGGATGTGTTGCATCACATTAACAGAATGAAGCATAAAAATCCATGATCTTCTTAATAAATTAGAAAAAAGTGTTTGACAAAATTCAATATCCTTTCATGATAAAAACTCTCAGTAAAATAGGAATATAAGGAAAGTATTTCAACAAAATATAGGCCACATATGAAAATCCAGACTAATAGGATATTTAGTGGTACAAAACTGAAGCTTATCCTCGAAGATCAGGAAGAAGGTAAGGATGCCAACTTTTGCTACTTCTATCCTTCACAGTACTGGAAATCCTATTAGAGCAATTAGGTAATAAAAAGAATTAAAAGACTTCTAAATTGGAAAGGAGAAATTAAATTGTCTTTATTTATAGACATCATGATTTTTTTCCACCTTCTATGGGGGAGAAGTTTATTTTGGATCATAGTGTCAGAGGTTTCAGTCCACAGCATGATCTTATATATAGAAAACCCCAAAGACTCCATCAAAAAACTGTGAAAACTAAATGAGTTCAGAAAAGTTGCATGTCACAAAATGAACATACAAAGATCAGTAGTATTTCTATACAGTAACAATAAGCTACCTGAAAAAGAAATCAAGACAACCATTTCACTTTATAATAGCTATAAAAATACTTAGGAATAAATTTAATTAAAGAGGTAAAAGAGTCATACACCAAAAATTATAAAACATTGGTAAAAAGAAATTAGAGTCACAGAAATGGAAAGATATTACCTATTTGTGTATAGGAATTTTTAATACTGCTAAAATGTCCACAATTATCCAAAGCAATCTATAAATTCAATGCAATTCCTATCAAAATCCCATAGGCATTTTTTGCAGAGATAGAAAAACCAATTCTATAGTTCATTCAGAGCCATGAAAGACCATGAATAGACCAATCAATCTTGAGAAGAACAAAGGTTTAGACATCAGTCTTCCTGTTTTCAAATTACATTATAAAACTATAGTGATTAAAATATATATAATTGTCAGAAAGAAAGAGGAGACTAATGCAATAGAATAGAGAATCCCAAAATAAATTTTGCACATATGACAGTTGCGTTAGTCAGATTTTTCATTATTGTGACAAATACTTGTGAGAAACAACTTCAAAGAGGAAGATGTATTGTGACTCATTGTTTCAGAGGTTTTAGCTCATGATTGGTTGGCTCCATTGCTTTTAGGTCAAGGCAAGGCAGAAACACATGGAGAAGGGCACGGCAGAGAAAAGCTGTTCACCTCTGGCAGCCAGGAAGTAAAGAGGGTAAGAGGAAGGGCCAGGGCCAAGACACACCCTTGTAAGGGATACTCCAACGATCCACTTCCAAGTAGGTCGCACCTTCTCCAGTTCTATCACTCCTAACAGTCCATGCAAATTTTGAGTCCATCAATGGAATAACTATTGACTAGGTCAGAGACCACGTAATCTGTCTCCACAAATGCTCTCACAGACATACCAGAGATGTGCTTTACTATTCTTCCTGGGTACCTCTCAATTCAATCAAATAGACAATCAAAATTAACCATCCAAATGGCCGACTGATATTCAACAAGAGTGTCAAGCATACACCATGGGGAAAGATAATCTCTAACAGATCATGCTGGGAAAACTGCATATCCACATGTAACCAATGAAGTTGGACCTTAAAAGATATAAAAAAATCAACTCAAAATGGACTGAACACTTTAGTATAGATCTGAAGCTGTAAAACTAGGAGAAACACAGGGGGAAAGTTCTATGGCAATTGACCTGCCAATGACTTATGGATATGACACCAAAATCCAGGCAACAAACCAAAAGCAAACAAGTGGGATTACATCAATTTACAAAGCTTCTGCAGAACAAAAGTAATAATAATATGAAAAGAAACCTAGGGAATGGGAGAAATTATCTACAAACCATACATCTTATAGGAGTCAATATCCAAAATATTAAGAACTCCTACAACTTAGTAGCAAAATGGGCTAAGTACTTAATATTTTTCAAGGAAGACATAGAAATGGCCAACAAGTATATGAAAAGGTGTTCAATGTCACTAACATTCAGGGAAATGTAACTCAAAACCACAATGAAATACTACCTCACACCTAACAGTTTGGCTATTATCAAACAAACAAAACAAAACACAAGAAGTACTGATAAAGATGGAGAGAAATTAGAACCTTTCCATTGTTGGTGGGTGCGCAAAGATACAGCTGTTGTTCAAAATAGTATAGAGGTGTCTCAGAAAACTAAAAATAGAATTTACCACATGATCCAGCAACACCATTCTGGATATTGTCCAAAGAACTGAAATCCAGAGCCCAAAGAGATACTAGTTAGTATGGTACTATTTCAAAATAGCCAAGATGTGCGAAACAATATAAATATTTTACCAAAAAATAGAATTACCACATGATCCAGCAACACCATTCTGGATATTTACCCAAAGAACTGAAATTCCAGAGCCCAAAGAGATACTAGTTAGTATGGTACTATTTCAAAATAGCCAAGATGTGGAAACAATATAAATATTTACCAAAAGATGATGGATAAGAAAATGTAAATTTTTTTAAGATTGCAGATCTTTTGTTAGGTGTTCTTATTACATAAAATTTAAAAATAAACTAAAGCCAGGCATGGTGATGGAACCTTGTAATTCCAGAACTCCAGAGGTTGGAGTAGGAAGATATTAAGTTCAAGGCCAACCTGTGCTACATCATCGGACCCTATCTCAACAAACAAAAAATAAAAAGAAAGCAACCTACTCTATTGCTGAAAGAAAAAAAAAAAGCCTAAATCTAAACACACTGTTATATTGTCAATCACTCTCCTTGGTATTTACCCACAGGAAATGAAAACATATCTGCAGAACCGGCACATGGATGTTCATAGCAGCTTTATGAATAATTGCCAAAAAGGGGAAGCAATCAAGATGTCCTTCTCTAGGTGAGTGGATAAACTGTGGGAATTCAGATAATGTTAGCACAATTTAGTGCTAATAATGAGCTATTACACCACAAAAAGACATGAAACAATTTTACATGCATATTACTAAGTACAAGAAGTCACTGTGAAAATTCTACATACTGTACAATTCAAACCAAAAGGCATTCTGGAAAAGGTAAAACTATGGAGACAGTTCTAATGATCTGGTTGCCAAGGGTTAAGGAGAGAGGATGTATGCACGTATGTTTTTAGGCAAATCCATACAGTGAAAATACTTTGTATTGTACTATAATGGTAGATATAAATCATTATAAATTTGTCCAAATCCACAGACTGAACAACACCAAGAGTGAACTCTAATGTAAACTACGGACATTGGGTGAAAATAATGCGTCAATACAGGAATTCATTCATTGTAACATACATACCACTCTGGGAGGAGGCTATGTATATAGGGTAGGAATATATGAGAAATCTCTGTAATTTCCACTAATTTTCTTCTGTGATCATAAAATTCTCTAAAGAAACAAGTCGGTGAAGAGAGACAGAGAGGAAGAGAGAGTCCAAACAATTCCATATGTCTTTCACATAGAGTAAAACACTGTACATTACAATGCTCATATTGAGTAAAAGAATAAATCATAATGAAGAGTAAAACACTGTACATTACAATGCTCATATTGAGTAAAAGAATAAATCAATAATGAAGTCTTGAGGTTTGGCCAAAATAAATGTGTATGAGAAAATTTCCCCCTCATGTAAAGAAGGGTTTTCAGTGTGAACGTTAAATATAATACCCTAGTATGTACGTTATAATAGATATATAGTATAAAAATAATACAACAAATTACTTTAATAATCTTGACTTACCTAGACTCTAGATCCAATGTAATTTCTATCAGAGAAGTATCTGAATCCTCAAAGACTTTTTCAATGTTCACATGCTTTTCCATTTCTTCTAATTCTTTCAGGCACTGATAATACTAAGGAAAGTTATAAATGAGTTCATTGTAAAATAACTTTACTTTCTAACTGAACTAGTTGAATATTTATAGACATCTGTAATAGCTACTGGACATTAAATACAAAAAACACAGAATGCTGTTAGTATATTAAAAGGGAAAAAATGCTCTAGGTTATGTTATCTGATAGGCTGGAATCTGATGCATTACCAAATGGATTTGGCTCACCTTGCTCCGGTCAGGATCACAGTAGTCCAAGAGAGAATCACAAAAATGGTATCCATTGACTCCAAGTCTTTTGTGCTAAAATGGGTGCCTCGTTTATTACCTAAAACATCAATAAATTTATCCACCCCTGATGAGCTAATCATTTTTCCTTATCAAGTAAGGCCTATATTGCAAGAGAGCATAAACAAAACATTGATATGACCCATATTCTGTTTGGATTTTCTTCTCTGGAGCAGGTCATTTAATAGCTTATTACCACTTGGACAAAAGTTAATTTTACACAGATTAAAATATGTTGTAAGGCAGAGGAAACTTCATAATATTAACTATGAAGTAGTTATGAAATGTTTAGTTAGCAGTTATAAACTACTGACAATTACTCTGAGAAAAACTTGGATAAAACTTTATGAGGAAATGTTTGCATTATCATGAATTATGTTAAATCAATTACAAGGTGCCTTAAAAACTAGGTAGAAATTATGTATGTGGTCTGGTATGGTTACTCATGCTTGTAATCCCAGGTATTTAGAGCTAAAGATCTGGAGGATCAGCCTAGGTAAAAACGTTCACAACACCCCATCTCAACTAATACGAAAGCTGGTGTGGTGGTAGGAACCCTCATTCTCAGCTATGCAGAAGCATAAATAGAAAGATAGTGATCCAGTGGTCCAGATAAATTTGAGGCCCTATTTAAACTAAGCAACAAGGGCTTGGGGGTGTGGCTCAAGTGGAAGAGGGCCTGCTTAGCAAGCGAGCATCAGTCCCTGAGTTCAAAACCCCAGTACCACCAAAAAAAACCAAACCAAACCAAACCAAATTACACATGTGCATCTCTAGTACTTTCCTGAGTTAATATGTTTTTCTCCAAAAAAAGTCTTTTTTTTTTTGACATAGTGTCTCCCTATGGAAACCAGGCCGACCTTGAAATTGCAATCTACTGCTCAGTCTCCCAAGTGTCTAGGTACATTTTCTAACAATGTGACAAATACCAGGAGTATTCTAACTGGCAGATATATGCTGCATATGACTTCTTAAATGAACCTGCTGACACTACTAGCCTGGGGTCCTTCGTAAGACACTACCTCAAAATTTAAAAAATAATAAATAATATATTAGTAAATCAATATGTCTTTGCTTAGCACTCTTAGAGCTGTCAATGAGAACACATGGCCTTACCCAAAGTAGATCCACAAAAGGTGGCTTCCATGGTAAAAGCTGTTTCTGATTCCCATTTTCCACATCACCACCTTCCTGTTCCTTCTTTGCTCTTTGAACATTAAACTTGCAAGCTGAGAATGAAAACTGAAAAGCAGCAAATGAAAATGAGACCCACATCTTTCTTAGGAAGAAGGGTTGAACATGAAAAAATCTAGTTCTGCAAAATCTGTAATTCTCACTAAGGCTTAAGGTGCTGTCTTTCATTTCCTGACCAATGGAAATAACTCATTTTAAAGATCTATTTACATTTCTGAGAACTATTGGTTCTAATTCCTGCAATAAAATACACTTTTATCTCTATATAACATGATCAAAATTAACTGATTAATTCTTGGATTCTTCCACTACTCTATCCTATGCTTTTAAAAACATTAAAACTTTTTGTTTTTGTCAAAAAAGGTTTTTTTCCCATGATGAGTTTTGAACTCATCATGGCAAGTACTCCACCACTTGAGCCATGTCTCAGTCCTTTTGCTTTTTTGGTTAAGTTTGTTTTTCAGATAGGGTCTCACACTTTTTCCTGAGCTAGCCTTGGACAACAATCTCCCTACTTCCTTCTTCTAAGTAGCTAGGATTGAAGGGCTGCACCACCACACCCAGTCTGAGTTTAAATATGTTTAAGAATGATTACTATTATACATTTCCAGAAACAGAATATGCTTTATTTTCATATCATTTGAAAGATGTCCTGAAATATTGTCTGTAAAGATCAGTGTTACCAAAAAGATTTGGGAGGGGTTAATTTTCCTGTTATTATTTAAACAGTGTCTCCCTATGTAGCCCAGGCTGGCCTCAAACTTGTGACCTTCTTGCCTCAGTTTCTCTAGTGCTAGGATTAAAGGCATGTGTCACCACACCCACTTGTAATTTTACTTAATATAAAATTGTGTTTCATTTTGTGTATTTTCACACATGTATAGATTTGTGTAGCCACCACCATATTCAGTACGCAGAATAGTTGTAATATCCCTAAAAACAAAACACTTCCCTCATGTTATCCGTTTGTAGTTATACTCTTCTGCCACCTCTTATCCTTAGCAACCAGTGAATTGCTGTTAAGTTTTTACTTTTTCAAGATTGTTATATAAATGAAATTCTAGAGTATGCAACCTTCTTTTTATTTTTTAATTGGTGTATATCAAGTGTCGATAGTAAGGGATGTTTCATCATGACATTTCCATAACATGCAGGACTGGTTTCTTTTACTTTGAGATTGATATAGGTTACTGCATTTATCAATATTTATTTGTTTTTATTGCTGCTTAGGTACGCCATTGTGTAGATGTTCTAAAGTTAGCTTGGATGACTTTTGAAGATATTTTGGGTAGTTTCCAGTTTCTGGAAAGTATGATAGAGCTGCTATGAACAGCTGTGTGTATAGGTTTATACATGATGTCGGCTTCATTTCTTTGTGGTATTATAAGAAACTGACAAACTCTCCCAAGATGCTGTATCATTCTGCATTCTTCTGAGCAATGTGTGAGAGTTCCAGTTGGCATCAGTTGGTTTTTGGGATTACCAGTACTTTCTATTTTAGCCATTCGAACAGGTAATTGTATCTCCTCATGATTTTAACTTGCAGTTCCCTAATGACTAATGATGTAAAGTATCTTTTTTATGTGCTTATTTGCCATTTTTTATGTGCTTATAGCCTGTTTGGTGAAGTGTATATCTAATATTATTGCCACTTTTAATTCAGTTGCTTGTTTTGTTACTATTGAGCTATTCTGAATATAAGTTCTATGTCAGATATGTGATTGTAAATATTTTCTCCTATCTGCAGCTTATCTTTGTATTCTTTCACCAAGAGCTTTCACAGAACAAAAGCATTAATTAACTTATTGTGACCCAATAGATCATGCTCTTGATGTCTAAGTTTTCTTGGAAAACTTCAATAGATTAAATGCAACATCTAAAGTTTAAATCTCAGATGGAGGTATTTTTAAAATATGGTATCTGTTTCAATGGCATTGATTGAAAAATTCTCCCTCCCCCCCTTTAAATTTCCTGAGCATCTTGTCATAAGGCCATGTATATGAGATTCTGTTACTGGACTTGCTATTTCATATCATTACTCTGTCTATACTGTTCCCAATATCACATTGTCTTGATTACTAAGTTTTATACTATTTTAAAATTTGATAGAGTCCTTCAATTTTTTCTTTTCCAAAATTATTTCACTTTGTCTGGTTTCTTTGCATTTCTTGCAACAAGTATCAGTGTGCTCATATCTATAAATAATTATGCTTTAATTTTGCTTGGAATTGTGTTAAATCTATGTATCACTTTGGGGAGAGTAGATACCTTACTGTGTTGTCTTCCAATATATAATACAGAATACTTCTCTCATTTGTTTGGATTTTTTGTTTATTTCATCAGCATTTTTAAGGTTTCAGCATATAGATCCTATATATTTTATTAGATTTATAGCTAGGTATTACTTTGGAGCTATGGCAAAATGGTGTTTTAAATTTTGGTTTCCAATTATTCATTGTGAGTATATAGAAATGAAATGGTTTTGTGGGCTGATCTTGTATCCTATATCATGCTAAACTTATTCTATGAGTTTCTGTGAATTACTTTGGATTTTCTGTATAGATAAATGTGTTGTCTTCAGTACTTTTCCTCTCCAGTGCGCCTGCCTTTTATTACTTTCATTTGTACAGCACTGGCTAGAACTTTCAATACAAGGCTGAATGAAAAGGATAAAAGTGGATAGATATCCTTGCCTTTCTACTGACCTTAGGAGCAAAACATTGTCCTTTATCAAGTATGATGTTAGCGATATGATTTTTTTTTGTAGATGTCCTTTATTAGGTCAAAAAATTACCCTTTAATCTTCATTTACTGAAAGTATTTTTATCATAAATTGATGCTGAATTTTGTTAAATGCCTTTTCTATATCAATTGAGGTGATCACACAGTTTTTCTTCTGTGGACTTTTAATATAGTGTACTACCATTGGTTAATTTCCAAATACAGAATCAATCTTAAATTCTTATGATAAACCCCATCTGGTTGTGGTGAATTATTGTTTTATAAATTGCTGGATTTAATAGCTAATATTTGTTGAAGATTTTGCATCTATTTTCATGAGGAATATTAGTCTATGTTTTTTGTTGTATTGTCTTTGTCTTGTGTTGGTATGATGGTAATACTTGAAAAGACTTTTTAAATATTTGGCAGAATTCTTCATTCAGTGAATCCATCTGGATCTGGAGATTTTATTTCTTGAAAAATTTTAAAATGTTTTCCAGGACTATTCATATGATCTATTTTCACTGTGGGTGAGTTTTGGTAGTTTGTCATTTTGAAGGAATTGGTTCATTTTCATCTAAGCTGTTAACTTTATGTTTATATGGTTGAGTTTCCCCCTTTGTGTCCTTTTAATGCCTGCAGGATCTGTAGTGATAGCTCTCTTTCATTCTTGATATTGGTAATTTGTATAATCTTCTTCCTCTGGCCAGTCTTGGTAAAGTGTTTTTTTTTTTCAGTTTTATTGATTTTTCCAAACACAAGCTTTATGTTTTACTGATTTTCTTCACTGTCTTTGTGTTTATATGTTCATGACCTGATCTGCTTGTTTTAGGGTTATTTTGTTTTTCTTTTTCTAGTTTATTTAGAACCTTAGATTATTATTGACTTGAGAACTGTATTCTTTTATAATATAAGCATTTACTGCTATGCTATGCAGTTTCCTCTATGGTTGGTTCTCTTGCTCAGTTCTTATATATCCCTGCCTATTGTCTATCTACCAGATTTTGTTTATTGAGAAAGAAATTTGAAACCTCCAACTATAATTGTGGAGTTTTCACAGAAATTTTAATAAGAAACATTTAAGAGAAAATCTAGAAATAGGAGCATCTACATTATAAGCAGCCTTTGCATTGTATGGAAGACTTGTTTAAACTACAGACTGGTTGTGGTGTTTAAGAAATTGGTCCATGTCATGAAAGACACAACTAGTTATAGAGATCTAAGACCATAAGAAAAAAATATATCAATAAACAAATACTAGAGTATCTTGATAAATGGGATCATTTTATAGGAATATCAAACCATTGACATAGCCTTATATACAGATTGTTTCAGGTATGGGGTTGTTTTCTCTGATATTTATGAAGAAATGAATACTGAGTAACAAAACTATACTTTCCATAAATAGCCATTCTTACCAGATCATCATTCCTTTTTGATGTCTTTGGACCCCAATTATCCTAAGAAAACAATGAGTACTTCCAAATAAGTCCTTTATAACTGAGTTGGTTGGTTGAGAACTTAAAAGGAAGTCTATAAGATTTTCTTGTTTTATTAAAAAAAATGTATATTTATTTATTTATTTTTTTAGTACTGGGGTTTGAACCCAGGGCCTACACCTTGAGCTACTCTACCAGCCCTTTCTTGTGAAGGTTTTGTGCGAGATAGGGTCTTGTGAACTATTTGCCCAGGCTGGTATTGAACCACAATCCTCCTGATCTTTGCCTCCTGAGTAGCTAGGATTACAGGCATGAGCCACTGGCACCTGGTTAAATCTTTTCTCTAAAGAATGATTGAAATAATTTTCACATCTTGGTAATTGGCTCCAACACTTCATTGATATGAAAATAATTATACACTATATTCTTTTCCCATTTTAGTTTCTCTATACTTTTGAAATATTGGTTATTGATTTTTGTCCTGGCAAAATTTTAATAAGTAGATTAAATACATTTCTTTTTTTTTTTTTCATTTTTCTTTTATTATTCATATGTGCATACAAGGCTTGGTTCATTTCTCCCCCCTGCCCCCACCCCCTCCCTTACCACCCACTCCCCCCCCTCCCTCCCCCCCTCAATACCCAGCAGAAACTATTTTGCCCTTATCTCTAATTTTGTTGTAGAGAGAGTATAAGCAATAATAGGAAGGAACAAGGGTTTTTGCTGGTTGAGATAAGGATAGCTATACAGGGCATTGACTCACATTGATTTCCTGTGTGTGGGTGTTACCTTCTAGGTTAATTCTTTTTGATCTAACCTTTTCTCTAGTTCCTGTCCCCTTTTCCTATTGGCCTCAGTTGCTTTAAGGTATCTGCTTTAGTTTCTCTGCGTTAAGGGCAACAAATGCTAGCTAGTTTTTTAGGTGTCTTACCTATCCTCACCCCTCCCTTGTGTGCTCTCGCTTTTATCATGTGCTCATAGTCCAATCCCCTTGTTGTGTTTGCCCTTGATCTAATGTCCACATATGAGGGAGAACATACGATTTTTGGTCTTTTGGGCCAGGCTAACCTCACTCAGAATGATGTTCTCCAATTCCATCCATTTACCAGCGAATGATAACATTTCGTTCTTCTTCATGGCTGCATAAAATTCCATTGTGTATAGATACCACATTTTCTTAATCCATTCGTCAGTGCTGGGGCATCTTGGCTGTTTCCATAACTTGGCTATTGTGAATAGTGCCGCAATAAACATGGATGTGCAGGTGCCTCTGGAGTAACAGTCTTTTGGGTATATCTAAATACATTTCTTAAGAGCACAATCTTTAGCCTATATGATTTAGTCACTGAATAAATATTAAAACAATAAAAAATAAGGCTTCAAAAGTGATTGATAAAAAAGGCCAAAAGAGCTTTCAAAAGGTAAATAGTCTTTGTCTTTTTGTTTGTTTTGTTGAGACAGGATTGTACTATGCAGTCTAAGTCTCAAACTCATGATCTTCCTGCCTCAGCCTCCTGAGTAACTGGGATTACAGGTATGACCATCATACTTGGCTTTATCTTAAGTCCTTTTTTTTTTTTTAATGATACTGGGGTTTGAACTCAGGACCTACATCTTGAGCCACTCCACCGGCCTTTTGTGATGGGTATTTTCGAGACAGTGTCTCACGAACTATTTGCTTGTGCTGGCTTGAACCTCAATCCTTCTGAATTCTGCCTCTTGAGTAGCTAGGATTATAGACATGAGCCACTGGTACCTGGCTTAAGTCCTTTAAAAATACTTTCACAGTATTGGTCACTAAGCAGTTTCACATGGTTGTTTTGTATAGGCAATTGTATAACTCAGCCAAAAGAGTTATATACAAAATCATGTTACTGGATTGGATTATCTGTTCCACTGTTATACATGGGCAACATTTAGTAAAGGAAAATTAAAGCATAAAGGTGCTTACTTTATCTGGACAGTTTTTGCTCAGCATAAGTGGAAAGATTCGTTGCTGTAAGTACAGTGCTTTGGTTTTAGACCTGTCACTACCATCACAGCCATACATGAAGATATTCTCTTTCCTACTATGGCCATGAAGATCACAATATAAAATAACCTCTCGTTTCTCCATTAACCTATCAAGAAGAAAAAGAATAAGTCACTAAAATTTACCTCTGAACTTTCTTCCATAGGTACAACTATAGATTTATAAATATAATATCCAAGTAACAGAATTTCTTATATCCTAGTTTTTGACTTATCTATACTGCATATTATTACTATTGTTACAATATTTTAAGAAATCTATAATAATTTCAAATTATATGTCTGAGTGCTGTAGCCTTCCATTGTTGGTACAAAATTTACCTTGTCCCCAGGACTTTCTCCAAGAAAACCTGCTTTATTCTGGTTTTCTGTTACACACAGTCAACAGATCGCTCCTGTCTTTGCCCATACCACTCACATAGGATTTTTTTTTTTTTTTTGGTGGGACTAGAGTTTGAACTCAGGGCTTCATGCCGGCACTCTACTTTTTGAACCACACCTCCAGTCCCTTTTGCTCTGGTTATTTTGGAGATGGGGATCTTTTGTACTATTTGCCCAAGGCTGGCCTCAAATCACTTTCAGCCTCCCAAGTAGCTAGGATTACAGATGTGAGCTACCACTGCCCAGTTTCACACAGTTTCTTCTTGACTCGATTATCTTCCTCTTCATCATTATAAATGTAAACACTGCTGTCCACTCTTCAAAACCATCTTCATGTCTCACTTCACGCTAACCAGCCATGACCACCAATTTTTCTCTTTTTGAACTTCTGTAGCATTTGTACCAATGACTTGCCTATGAGTTTTCTTTCTTTTGATATTTAGGCCTGTGAAGAATGGAGAATGCTTGAAATCATATAGAACAGTGCTGTGCTCATAATAACCACCCAGACATTAGTGAAAAGCTAACAGTTAACCCTTGGTAAGTATGGCGACTAAATGGTACCAAGATCTGAATTGAATTATATTCTGATAAATTTATGATAACTATTTAAAATGTATTGTACATTCTTTAAGAGCACAATCCTTAGTTTGTATAGTTTATAACTCAATGATTTAAAAATAATAAAAAATAAGCCTAAAACTGAGTGATGAAAGTGATTAATAGGGAGGCTTTCAAAAGGTAAAAAAGTAGGTTCAAGGTGGTAGGATTTTGGATATATTTGTCTTTTTTCCTGTTTTCAAACTTGATATAGCATTAATACATTGCCCAATCAAAATTACATGTACTATTTATTGTATCTGGAAGGATAAATACTAAAATGTTAGCAGTGTTATTATAATATGAAATATACTTATAACAAAAATATTAAAGTCTAAAATCAAAACATTTAGAGCCTGGCATGGTGGTTTATGCCTATAATCCCAGCTTTTCTGGAGACAGAGAACAGGAAGATTGTGGTTTGAGACCAGCTTACTCAAAAAGTTTCCGAGATTCCATCTCAATAAATAACCAGGCACAGTGGCAAAATTCTGTAATTCCAGGTACTTAGGAAGCATAAGAAGGACTTCAGTCTAGGTCAGACCAGGCCAAAAAAACCCCCTACAACTCTGAAAAATAACTGAAGCAAAAAGGGCTGGGGCATGGCTCAAGTGGTAGAGCACCTTAGTAAGCATGAGACCCTTAGTTCAAACTGCAGTACCACACACACACACACACACACACACAATCAAGACATTTAAAGCACTGCTTTTGTTAAAAACAATACTTAAGCTACAGTGAAATTTCAAACTGAAATCTGTTATGTATATTAATATAGTTACCTTATCTCATTTGGTACCCAATAAATTCTAATTGATAACATTTAATTGACATAAGACCACTAACATCATGTTTTTAGAAAACTATAAAGTACAAATAGAAAGTCCTTAAATATAAAACCATGCTGTGCATTTTAAAATCCAAAATTCCTGTTTAGTGATCTCTCAGCTTCTTACCAGTAAAAAGAAACTCCTACTTCCAAATAATTAATTTCCAAAGAAATATTATTTCTAAAGTAATATTAAGGTCTCTCATCATACATTAAAACAAATTGGGATTTTCTTCCTATCTATTGATAAATTAAGTTATTGTAAGTATTTTATATTAAGTATCCTAAACTAAAATCATACTGTCTCTTATCCTAACATGCTTTAAATATACTTAAATACAGATATACTTACAGCTGTCCTCCTTTCCACACATATGTGACTGACTCCTTACTTTACTTGCCTGCCTTTGACTAATTGCATTAAGGTATTTCTCTTTCTTGGAATTCTTTCTGAACCTTATTGAATAGACTTCTGCCTTAACCTTCCTACAAGGCAATCTGAGAAGAACTGAGACATTTAAATTAGCTTCCATAGAGACAAGCCAAGGGGTACTGGCTGTAATAAATTGTGTGTCAGACCAGGAACCCCCTTTTTTTTTTTTTTTCCAAAACAAAGAATTTATTTAAATAAAGAGAGAGAGAGAGAGAGAGACTCATTTTCTGTCTTCATCTTTTAAAGATCACAGCTTGAAGATGTTCGGAGAACAGGAGAGCATAGGACGAAGTGTTTTAGGGAAATAAGTTGTGTGGGTGGCAAAATACCTATACATAAATGGGTTAATAACTTCTGTATACTAACCAAATAAAATTACCGTTCAAATCTCAATTGTAAATATGCTATTTTTTCTCAAAAAATAGCATTTATAAATATTTTAAGAACAAATACATCTTTTCAATATTGAAAAATGTTTATCTAAGTGTGAAATTATATCATTAAATATAATACAAATTAAAGGGGAGTAGATAAGGTCTAATGTTTCTCTCAGTATACATTTCAGATATATGGATTTCTATACAATTCAATAAGCAATTTAGACCAGGAACCCTTAATGTCAAAGATCATTAAGTAGACATCATAGATACGCTAACAGGCATCCCATTAGCAACTTTAAATATACAAAAAGCCATTTATTTTAGAATAACTTTAGATTTACACGAAAGTTGCAAAAATAGTAGACAGCATTCTCATATACCCCTTTCCCAGTTTACCTTAATATTAACATATTACCTAACCATGGATTAAAAACAAAGGAACCACCTGGGTGTGGTTATACACATATATATTCCCAGCTACTCCAGGCAAGATAGGAGGATCTTGGTTTGAGGCCAGCCCAGGGAAAGTTAGCAAGAGACTGTCTCCAAACAAACTACAGACTTGAAAGAAAAAAAAAAAAAACCCAACAAAGCATAGCACAAAGCAATCAACACTGGTATATTACTATTAACCTATTCTATGTCAGAATCCAATATAGGATACCACATTGTATGCAGTCAGCTCTGTTTATTGTTTGCATGTCCATGAAAAAAAGAAGTCACAGTTTATCCTTTTATTAATTAAGCATTTCCTAAATAACTTCAAGGAAGCCTGGAGTCCACATTTGTAGGGGTATAAAGCCAGGGTTTTCAGTTCTTTTTGTGGGGCTCTGCATTTTACTTCCAATGTCCTAAGCAGCTAAAGGATGCATATGAAAATGAAAGTTAAGGCTGAACTGCCTATGACAATAGGAGCTATGGCAGGTGTTTCTAAAAACCTGTCAGCTCCTCTGAGGAATGGAAGTATCCTTAAGGCTCCTTGGCTTTGTAACAGCTTTTTTTTTTTTCTTTTTCCTTTCTCTGTTAGGGCCTCACACTAGCCTGGCTAGCAGGCACTACTTGAGTCACTCTGCCCGTCCTGTAACAGGATTCTTGTGTTTGCCACTGTGAAGTTCTGGTAAGAAGGCTGGATAAGGAGATAGTATCTTCAGTAACAGTATTTATTATTATGACATTTGAATTACTCTAAATGTGAGTTTTCACATTTATCTGATTCAATTTTTTTCTTTTTTACATTAAAGGAGTCATTTTGAATACATTTAGAGCTTTCAAAGTCCATTCCCTATTCTGAGCACATTAGCAACATTTTTCTCATGTAATCCTTTCAACTTAGAGGTCAACTTAGAGGTTTTATTATTCCCATTTTATAGATGACAAGCTAAGACTTAGTTGTTTTTTTAATTGCACAAGGATATGCAGTCAATAAATGACATAGTAGGGATTCAAAGATGATGTGCTTCACTCTCAGATCTATGAACTTAATAAAAAAAGGTTAAGAGGCTTTGAACTTGGAATGCATGTTCTCTGACTCCAATAAATCTATTATAACATATGTTTATTCCTAATTGTTATTACCTGAATCTACCAAATAATTCAGCCAGCCATTCAATAAAAGATTAAATATTATGTACATTTTTCTGTTCTAAGATGTTTGGAATATTTAAAGCTGTTCAGCTTTCTTTAGGGGCAAGTAAGACTTATTATTCATGAAAGTGTAAATGAGTATATAACTTGATAAGTCAAAAGACTCATCCAGCAATGTGTGATCAACACAATACCAGAATAGTTTGTGAGATGTAGTTAATTCTCACATATAAGAGATTCATGGTTCCTAATGCAGACATCAGTGCTAATGTTAGTGTTGGTAAGAACCCAAATTTGGGATATACAAATTTAACTATTAGTTTCACACAGCCATCAAACATTCTGGAGTTTATTATTTAAGGGAAAGTTAGTGCATATGCTAGAAAGATCCAAGTTTTGAAGTCTGGAGAAAATAAAGTAGTTGTAAACTATCTTAAGAAAAGTTAGAATAAAATAAAGGAATAAGATTGTAGGAGCAAAGTACTTATTACCACATTTACTAATTGAAAGGAGGCTTATTTTACCTATGGATCATGTTCCGGGTATACCAAACAGAAGGAAAAGTTTCCTTCAGGAGAGATGTGTAATTACGGTTTAAATCTTGTCCAGATAAGGAACACCGGTAATTTCCCACAATCACACCATCTGGATTCAGCATGGGCACCACCTTGAAGACGAAAGTGTCCCGAAGCAGCTGTGCATCACTTGAGTCTCCTAAAATATAATCTAGAAAGCCTTTCATGATCCAAGAGCTGTTGGTTTCTCCAGGATGGACCCTTGCAGTCAAAATCACTGCCTTTCTCTTTCTTGAGTCAGTGTTCTTCAAGGGAGTAGTGATTGTTAAAACATACACCATGTTCCTAGCAAGCGTGTGGCACAAGACGCGTATTTTACAAAACTTCGACCGTATTGGGTCATTATTGATCCCAGAAAGGTATTCCTGCAGATTTGTGTAAGTGTATGGATAGCAGTGAGCAAAGTAGCAGGTATCCTTGTTGTGTGGAAATTGGAATGTCCATGTAAGAGAGAAAAGATGGTGCCCATCTTGCCCCAGGTTGTTTCTATAATATTTGATTTGGTCTCCTATTCTCTGCCAGCCAATCTGATGAGCCTTGGCCTCTTTTTCAGAATAGAACAGTGGGCGCATACCCCGATTGTAAAGACTAGCAGGCTTGGTGAAGTTGACAATAGTGAATCTGTAGACCATTTCTGCTTTGGTATTAGTGACTTGGAAATAGAACCATTGGGTATGTTTATTTGTGAAGAGGTCAGGGCGCACAGTCAACTGGTATTCATACTCTGCCCTAATACATAAGAAAGGAAGGGAAAAAAGTACTTAAGAATGTAAAAATTACCATTCAGTTTAAATAAGAAAAATTATTTTATCTATTTTACCTATCCACAGACCGCTTTTTTGGGAAATGGTATTTATTTAGGCACTGCAAAAGTTTTGAAATGTTCTTTTATTTGCATGGTAATTCTAAAGCTTTTGTATTCCTTTGTAATTCAAGACAGCATATAAAAGCACTTGATAAAAATTTGTGTATTTCAGTGCAACTGCTTCTTGTAAGATAAATGATTAAAAATATTGAAGAAAAATCAATTTTTTTGTTCAAATATATATTTCTATTTTCTAAGAGGGATATGAAGTAATTGTCACTGAGAAAGGTTTAAAAGCATTTATAAATTAGTATAATCACAAAGATTATAAAATGTAAATCCTTTCAGTACAAGGACTACATTTAATAACTATGTACCTCCTGTGTAGTCACTGATGATGCTTAAAGAAAGGCAAAAAACTTTTTTCATTGGAATATTAATTATATACATAACAATTTTATCTGGTTAGCTGTGACTTTTTTACTATGCCAAGTAACTTTTAATGTGTATGTCAGTCTCGTTATAAATGATAAGCTAGGAATGTCACAAACTCTTGATATCTCTAATTAGCATTTATACTTTAGGAATTCAGTAACAGAGACTAAGGACTTTAATATACATAAACAAACAAATAAATGAAACTACAGTTGGTTGAGCTCCTCAGATAAAAATAATTAAAACCTACACTTTGACTACCTTCTGTAGATTACCACTCTCAAACCTTGCTTCAAACATCAAGGTGCTGTCACAGTTATCCACAGGCTGCTTCAAAGGTGTTCGGTTTCCCCCAACTCGGGAATACACAAAACAGGGTTCTTTGTAAGCTGATGAGAGAAGATCAGATCAATGGTAGTAAGTATCTAGTGACTCTTGTATATTTGGAAATAAGGAAAAACATTTCTAAATGATCCACAGATCAAAGAAAAAATCACAGGTAACATTAGAAAATATTTTAAACTGAGTGACATAGGAAATGTGCAATATATCAACATTTATGGGATGAAGCAAAAGCAGCGCTTGTAAAGAAATTTATAACTTTATATGCTTATAGTTTTAAACACCAGAAAAGGTTTAAAATCAGAGATCAAGTTCTGGATTTTGCTTGGGATGTAGAGCACTGGAAAAAGCATTGCTCTCATCTTTGCAACAAAAAAAACATTGCTGTGGGCAAATTTACAACTTTTCTTGAACCACTCAATAAGGTGTGGTCGCAAGGCAACTGTCTAATTAAAAATCTAACACATTTTCAAGGAGAGATGGAACATGGTATTGGTTCACATTACAGTGAGAACATTCAGTTAAAATTTTAACCAGTTGGCAAAGGTTGAGTATGGGCTAGAAAGAAAATACAGAATCTCAGGGAAGACACAAAGGATTTACAGGTGTAATGGAATTGTGTACCTACCGGTTTCCTTTCATAGCATCTCATCAGGAATTCACAAAACCCATATTTGAATCCTAAGAAAGCACCAATTGTAGTGTGGACTAGGGGAAGGGAGTGGGAGACACTGCCAAAAAAAGCACAAAAGCTCACCCAAATCATTTTCACCTTTCTGTCTGGTGGACCAAGAACCTTAAATCCTTGGGGTAAGAGCAATAAACACTGCTACTTTTAGGGCACTGGTGTATATACATATTATCTGGGAAAAGAAAACATTAAAAAAAATAACCCAAATCCTTTACTCCTTGGAATAGAGCAAGAGTTACACACAGGAACCAGATGTATAGTTGCAGGTGTTGGAACACCCAGACCTCATGCCTGAAAACCAGGGACACTGGTGTGTGACTAAGATTGAGCCTAATCAGAATCACAATATATCCTCTAAACCCCAATGCCAGGCTGAAAAGCCATGAGTAACAAGTAACAGAGACCTAGTCATTGGACAGGACAGCAGGACAGGCTTCGGAGAGACCCTCTCTGAAGTATTGAGCAAAGGGAAGACTTAAAGTCGAGGATGGTTCAGAAGTGAGAAAAACTCTCTTTCCCATTCCAAATAGTAATGTAGAAAAGGATTTGAAGCCTGTGGTGCAGTGAAGGTAACCAGCAAAGTAAATCTAATACAGCTCAATTCCTAAAATGACTGAATCAATTCCCTGCCTGCACCCTGATCCAGCACATGTACACTGAAGACCAAACACCTGGAAAGAATTTTTTTCAGTTTCCTGGCACAAAAACTAATTGCTTATATCTTTACTGACCTACATAAGATCTCCAGCTATCAGCCAAAAATTCTATGCCCACCAAAAATATTTTTCAAAATAAACAAGAAAAAAAGTTCTGAAACAAACAGAATTCATTTGCATTATAAGAAATGTTAAAGTTTTTTAGGCAGAAGTAATAAGCTACTAGACAGAAACTTGGATCTGCACAAAAAATGAGTGCTAGAAATGAAGTAAACAAAAGTAAAGGTAATATTCATTTTTGCTTGTTTTTAATTGGCCTAAAAGATAATTGTTTAAAGAAAATGTAATAATGCTTTGAATTTTTATAACACATGAAAATGTGCATTTGAAACTATAGCACAAAGGAAGAGAGGAAGGAATTAGGACTATACTTTTGTAGAATCCTCATATGTGAAGTGTCATAGGATTATTTGATAGTAGAGTCTTTTATTTACTTGTAATTAATGAATTTATTTGTAGAGAAAGGGTATTGCTATATAGCCTAGGCTGGCCTGGAATCACAATCCTTGTGCCTCAGCCTCCTAAGTGGTGGGACTATAGGCATGCATTACCATACCTAGCTGAAACTAGAGTCTTTGAAATTAATGATATATACTGAAAAACCAAGGGCAACCACACCAAAATTTAAAAACAGGTATACATGATAATCTAATAGCAAGGACAAAATAGAATCAAAATATATTTGTTAATTTGGAAGAAGGCAGAAAACTAAAAAGAAACACAATACAAGTGTTAGCAAGATGGCAGCTATTAGTATAAGCTATATAAGTATATTAAGTGTAATAATTTTAAGACATAGATTTTCAAATTACATAAAAGGTAACCCCCAACTATATCCTGAATATACCTCAAAAATGTTAAAACTTTAAATGAAAACACAGATTAAAAGTAAAATAATGGCACAAAGATATGCGAATACTAATCAAAAGAAAGATCAAGTAGCTATTTTAATATCAAAGTATCCTACTTGGATAAAGATACACAATCAATATGGTAGTAATCGCACAAGTACTAATACATCAATGGAATAGAATGAAGACTCTAGAAATAGACCTATGCATATACTGTTAACTGACATTTAATAAAAGGTGGCTAGGTCAGTGGTAGATGGGATTGGTGATGAAACAAATTTCATAAACAGGTGGGAAAAAATAAATGTTGACTCCTATCCAAGCTATCCACAAAAAAAGATTCAAGATGGATCATAGGCCTCAATGAAAAAGTGAAAATAAAAATAAAAAAATAGGTACTCATGAGGAAGGCAAAGAAATAGTAGGACACAGAGTGCATTACGCTTGAAAGAACAATTGGTAATTGACTTCCTCAAGTTTAAAGGTTCTACTCATTACAGATGTCATGTGAATGAAAAGGAGTGCCACAGGTTGAAAGAAAATATTCACTACATATATAGATATGATACAGAGTTTATATCTTGAATATATTTCAATCATAAAAGGAACCAAATTATATTCTATTTATATGATGTAGATTTGGACTATAAAAGAACCAAGTGATATGTGTGAATTTGAAGAACCTAATTCTGAATCAAAGAAACCACATACAAAGGTATACCTGCTATATGATTGCATTTCCAGAAGGTGAAGATAAGGCAAAACCAACCTATGGTGACAAATCAGAGAAACAGTTGTCCAGGGATGGAGCTGGGGACTGACCAGAAAGTGGACATGGGGGCATTTTCTGGGATGCCAGAAGACTTCCATATTTTCAAGGAAATGTTGGTTGTAAGGATGTATTTATCATTAAAGCTCACCAAACTGTGAACTTATCATCTATTTTAGTATGTATAATTTCCCTCAATTTAATCAAAATAATGTCATATTCTTCAGTATCCTAAACTAAGGATTCAACTTTATATGAACATTTAGAGGGAGGGGGTGAATTCAACTATGATATATTGTGAGAACTTTTGTAAATGTCACAATGTACCCCCAGGACAACATGATAATAGAAATGTAAAATAAAATCATATGACATTTAATTTTCACTGATACTTAGTTTAGATCTTACCTATAAAACAGTATTTTTCTACTGTTTTTGCCATTTGTAAAAATGGAGAAAAGTATTTGCAAATAATCTTTTATATGCTGGATGAAATCCAAGTATACTAGATTTTTTTTGTCCTTAAACCTGGTTTTTATAGCTTTCCTTTTAACTCATTGACAGGTGGATCTTCACAACTCTTAAGGATGACAACAATAAGATTAAGTAATAGTAACTGAGATGGATGCTCTCTGTTTCTACCTACAGATACATCTCCTTAACAAGTTTAAGAGGTTGATCTTTATGTGCTGTCTCATACGCTCACTTTTCCTTTGGCTGTGGACAATGGGAGGCATTAGGAGAACCTAGGAAGTTGGAAGGATAGTGAAATTGGGTTACTTACTCTCCTGGCTTCCTCCTTTCAATGCATAAGTTGACAGCTGTTTGGTTTCTTTTTTTTTAATTTTTATTTTATTCATATGTGCATACAATGTTTGGGTCATTTCTCCCCCCTTCCCCACACTCCCTCCCTTACCCCCCCTTACCCCTTGCTACCAGGCAGAAACTATGCTGCCCTTATCTCTAATTTTGTTGAAGAGAGAGTATAAGCAGTAATAGGAAGGACCAAGGGTTTTTGCTAGTTGAGATAAGGATAGCTATACAGGGAGTTGACTCGCATTGCTTTCCTGTACATGTGTATTACCTTCTAAGTTAATTCTTCTTGAACTAACCTTTTCTCTAGTTCCTGGTCCCCTTCTCCTATTGGCCTCAGTTGCTTTAAAGTATCTGCCTGGCCCAAAAGACCAAAAATTGTATGTTCTCCCTAATATGCAGACATTAGATCAAGGGCAAACACAACAAGGGGATTGGACTTTGATCACATGATAAAGCGAGAGCACACAAGGAATGTATGAGGATAGGTAAGACACCCAAAAAACCAGATAGCATTTGTTGCCCTCAAAGCTGTTTGGTTTCTTAACTGAAAGTTAAGTTTGTGAGTTGCCCTCTCCCATGGCTAAATATCTTTATAGGTCTGAAACCCATTCTGTGCTCTTACCCTTTCAGGCCTAGGAAACTTTTAATTATTGTGTTGTTGACAGTCCTATGTTGCTTCATCATCCCTTTTTAGTCTCCCTTAGCTTTGTCTACCCATTTGTAAATTCATTACATTAAATTTCATTAAACTCTTTTAAGTTACTCTATGTATGCCATCCAATTCCTGAGAAGACCCTGACTGACTCACTTCAAATATTTTAACTTTAAATCAGATCTCATGTCAGTTTATATGTGACAGCGCTAAGACAGGTTAGCCATGTAAACATTTAAAATCAAATTTAAAAAATTGGAGGTGCTTTTCTCACTTCGGTTGTTTAAAAATATGTATGTGAAATGTGACTTTTAGAATCTTTTTCTTGCTAGCCCTCTAAATAAAATATGTGTATTCCCTGGAAGTTATTTTTCATATATGAAAACACTGATGGTGAAATTGTACCAGTGTTCCTTCATTCCTCACATTAGTGATACAAGGGCAGTGCATTTAGGAGACAGGCTGAGGCTTCTATGTGTGATGATTATCACACATAAATCTCATAAAAGCAGACTGAGATTTTGCATTAGTAGTGTTCTTGAAGAGCACTACTAAAAGTGTTAAGAACACTTTTCTGGGATATAGTCTCGGATGTTATTTGCCATGTGGGGTATTTTTTTCTCTTTAAAAATGATAACCTCAAGAAATGCATCAAATAGGCATGCAATTAGAAGAAAATCATGTGAGCTACAGATGCAGAGGGAACAATAATTGCAGATTACTCACTGGATGTATCTTTTAAAACATATGAACCACAACTCATTCTAAATATAACTCTCCATTCTAAAGGACAACGTGTCATATTTTGAAGTAACTTAGCATGAACTGTAGTATATTTTCAAAAATGTGATCAGCACTAAATCAACATTCGAATCAACATGCAAAATTATCTTTATGAGGACAGGGACTTCCTGGTAGTCTGAAATTCTCACTCTAAACAGCAAAAAAAGAAAAAAAATACATAACTAAGACATTAACTGAGATACCAAATCATATTTTACAGCAACATGTCCCATTAGATGCCCACCATCCTCAGCCAGATAAACCACGGTATCTTCCTTGGAGTTTGGATAAAGGGGTTCCATTTCCAGGCCTGTTGGGATATACACTGGCTCAGGAAAAAAAGGAGTCCAGTCTGGAAAAAAGAGTGAGGGCATTATTTGAATACAACATTGAAATAAAACAGGAAAAATTGCTGTGTATTTCCAAATTATTATTTGTAGATCTAGACTTTTACTAAGGGTTCACTGGAAGTAAAAATGAACATTGTCACACTGTAACAATACTTGTGATGTTTTACTTGTGTCTTGTTCTAAATTATTATATTGAGTACTTGAAGATTGTGTGTTCGTGACAGATTTTATACCACGATTTCTATTCCTTTTCAGTCCTTCACGCTATTCTATCACACCTCTGAGAACCTTGCACCGCCTTTTATTCTTCCTTTCCCTGTATCTTCAGCCTCTGCTTGGTAATGGTGTACTCTAAGCTTATAACACGTTGAGGTTTCTTCTCTCTCCCAAAAGGATGAGTATTTTTAGACCCCTCCCCCTGCCTTTCTCCTTTAGCCACCAGCTTTCCCTCTTCTCATTCTTTTTAGGATCTAATTCCTTTAAAAAAGTTTTTGTTTTGGCAGTACTGGGGTTTGAACTCAGGGATTCATACTAGCTAGGTAGGTACTCTACCACTTGAGCCACACCTCTAAGCCCTTTTTGATCTGGTTATTTTGGAGATAGGGTCTTGCTTTTTGCCTGGACTGTCTTCCTGCCATAGCTGGGATTACAGTAGCATGCCACAATGCTCAGCTTTTTCTAATAAGATGTAGTCTCACAAACTTTTTTGCTGAGGCAGGCCTGCAACTGTGATCATTCTGATCTTAGCCTCCCACACAGCTGGGAAATGTAAAGAACAGAAAAGTATACTGAGGGTACAGAAATGGGGCTGTCAGTTAGATGGGGAGAAAACTGACTTAGTTTAATGAGAACATGGGCTGGGGGATGCTGAGAACCAGCAGCAGCATGGTAGAGCCTTCCTTCCCTCTTCCCTTTGGGTCTCTCTGCTCTCATTTTCTCACCACTGCTACAGAAGAGAAATTAGGTAGAGGCTGCACTAGCAGCAGAAGGGATTTTCCTTTCCTACTCCTTTTTCATTCTAACTGCCACAGATACGTAAAAAGGAGGCTATGAAACACAAGTGAGGTATACAAAGGATGTAGGGAAAAGTACAAATGTAGTGGCATGGTAGTATTTTCATTTAAAAAAAAATTACTCTTCCTGGTATAGGAGCAAAAAGGAGAGTGGCTATTTGAGGAGGGGTAGGGATGATGTTATAAAGGCTGAAAGGAGAAAAGGAAAGAGCTGTTCTAAATTATGGAAGAGAAATACATACCTAGCTGAAGAGTCCTTTGTAAATAGTGATACTTGTAAGTACTATTCAGTATGAATTCTTTAACATATTTTTGATGCTATAATTTTAGAATTCTTGGGGAGAAATTAACTTTGTCCTCTATTATCAAAAATCAGCATTCTCTTTTTCCTTCTCTGTGCCTTCCCCTCCCTCTACATCTATGGTTTGATTGATCTACCAACCTATCTACCTACTTCCTGCTACCTGCCTGTATACCAGATAATATAAGGAGAAAAATTAGCAGCATCTAATTTACATAGCACTATAATAAGTATAGACAGTTTTTAATTTTATTTACCTAAGAATGTCTATAAGAGCTCTACCTGGCAATAATGTGTGAATACTATAATTGACAAAAGGAGAAATACAGTGGCAGTGGGAAGGTACATAACAATGGATATGTTTCTATCATACCTATCTGTGGACTGAGAACATAAGGTTGTAAGCTCTTCTAGGAGAATGAAAAACATATTTGGGAATGTTCAAATATGGAAACAAAAACATGCACTAAATATGCAGTCTTCAGTTCGATAAATGACCATTAAGTGAAAAAAAACAGAAAGTGGGAATGGAAAGAAAAGGACAGAAAAGACAATGAGGTATAAAGAGATAGAAAATAAAAGAGGGACAGAAACAGAAAAAGACAGAAAGAAGCAAGAGAGGATAAAGATACATTTAAAGATACATTGAGAAGGATATCCATAGGGGGAATGGAAAAACAGAGACAGAGAGCAAAAATGAGCAGGATGCAGTTCATGAACATTCTATCATAGTTCCTATGAGATTAACTATGACTGTGACAGTCATATTGTTTAGAATTACTAAAGCTCTGCCATATTTTCTGTGTTTTTGTGGTTTTTTTTAATGAGACCGGGTCTTGCTGTTACAGGTCTTGAACTTCGCAATCCTCCTGTGTACTTGGATTGGAGGTGTATGCCCCCACACCTGGCTCCGGCACATATTTTAAACCACTTTACTTAAGCACATGTGGTATTGAACACTTGAAGTGTGACTAATCTGAACTGAGGTGTTTCTAAATACAAATGCTCATCAGATTTGGACGACTTTGTACAACAAGAAAGTGAAATGTTTTGGATATATGTAGATTAAATAAAATACATTTCAAAAATTAATTTCACTTTTCCCTTTTTAGCTTTATGAATGTAGCTACTAGAAAATTTTAAATTACAAATATGGCTCATGTTTCATTTCTGCTGGAATGTACTGTTCTAACACCAGGAGTCTCCTCATTAAAAACAAGGTGTCACAGTAAGTCTGCTAATGTCTGAACCTCCCAAACACCTAAGAACATACCAATATGTTGAACTTTTTCATCAATAACCTCACAGTGATATGGCCACCGTGTTGGGCTCAGTGGACCAGAAGAAGAGACACCATATAAATCTCGTGGTTCACGAAGGCGTGGCACCCATCTTCCTAGCTGATACTCTAGTAGTATCTGTGTAGTCCGGGGGAAGAACGGGTCTACAATAGAGTCAGCTGAAAACAAAGATTCAACACAACCATAAGTGACAAGAAGGAAAACCCCAATTCTACATGTGTTATATAGCTCCTTTTTTCCCTCCAACACTATTCAGTTTGTGGGTATCATTATTACTATAATGAAATTCATGGCATTTTAAATAAAAGTACTAATGAAATATTTTTTTACAATTAATCTTCATAATTGCTAAAATGTTTAATCTATGTACTATATTAGTTTATGCTGAATTCCCAGTGCTACTATAAAAATATCTGTTTCTTGCAGCTTTTCAAGCAAATCATCTACTTTTGACTCTTTTCAGACTTAATCACACTATTTGTCTAATGGGTTAAATGCACTCACTAATTCCTCACCATTTCTTGGAACTGTATTCTCAAAGATTGCTGGTGATCTCTCAGTCACAATTTTCTTCTCAGTTCTCCTTTTTAGGGCCACTGTGCAACATAACCCCAGGACCTCATAGAATAAATGGGGCTGCTGTCAGCAGCCATTGCTATGGCCCTTTTTCTTTCAGTATGGTAACTGTGTAGCATCAGCTTGATGCAGCTCTCCTTAAATTCATTTTTTTTCTTTTATGATACTACAGAAACCATCATCTAACCTCTGACTAGGGACTTTCCACTGGGATCCAAATAAGGCTCCTGCTCCACTTTAACCAATTAAATATTTTCACCCTATTAAAGTCTTTCTTAGGTGCCCTTAAGTAAAGCTCCCAAACTGCTTCCAGTTTTGAGCTGCTCAATTTGTGACATGCTGTTCAAATACACATTTTTTCTTTTTTCTTAGCAAATGTTAATTGTACAGAGGGGTTTCATTGTGATATTTCCATACATGCATATAATGTACTTTGAACAAATTCATTCTGTCTATTTACTCTTTCATATCCCATCTCCCACCCCCCCAAATTAACTTCTTAAAATTTTAATGTGACAAATTTTATCTTTCACCAATAGGTTTTACCCAAATTGGATCATCTTAAACATATAGTTCTATGATTTTATTTAATAGATATCATACATAAATGACCATATCAGAAGTAAATTTTGAATTATTTTAATGTAGTTAAGTTTATCAGTATTCATTTGTGACTCTTTATTTTGGTATCCTGTTTAACTTACAAAAGCCTTCTCTACCCAGGCTGTGTAGTACAATATATGCCTTAAATATATGCACGGTAATTTATTTAACAATTTCCCTACTGATGAATGCTTAGATTGTTTTCAACTTTTGACTCAATCTGAGAAGGAAGAACTAGAAAGGATACTTGCCCTAACATATATCAAAACATCAAATTTAAAGCTACCATAATTTACATCATGACAGAGACTCAGGAATAGGCGAGTAAGAGTCAAGTCCAGGAATGGATGGATAGAATTTAGTATATGATAAAGATGACATGTCAAATGTCACATGGTAAAGAAAGGTGTCATTCAAATCAACAGTAAAAAGGATGATCAATAAATAATGCCATGAACTACAAAATGGCAAGGCAGCTATTTATGAATTAGAACATAAAATCTACTACTTATAAATACAAATGATAAATACTGAAATTCAAATAAATACATAATGGTACTTAAAAAGAAAATTCAGATGATTATACTGATGACCTTGAGGTAAAGAAGGACTTTTGTAACAAACAAGATACAAAAATAAAGAAATGAATACTGATAGATTTCACCATGCCATAATAATTCTAAGTGATGGAAGCATCATAAGCAAAATTAAAGGATTGCTGTGTGCTGGTAATTCATACTAAGAGGGAATATAATAGACAGTAAGTCTATGAAATTCTCAATCTCTCTAGCAATCATAGGTATGCCAGTCAAAGGAATGAGCTACCATCCATCGTCCAGTAGACTGGCAAAATTTTTAAAAAAGAAAAGAGTCTGGGTGGATAGTTCAAGTGGTAGAGCTCTCAAGTGGTAGCATGTGCAAGATCATGGGTTCGATCCTCAGTATCACAAAAATAACTAAGAAAGAAAAAAGGGCAGCAGTAGCAGTAGTACAAAATAGTACTACAAAATTTCTGTAAGGATGGGTATATATGTATATACAAATGCAAAGAAGAATGTCTAGAAAAATACATACCAATTTTTAAGTATAGGGGTTATCTCAAAAGTTATGATTTGTTTTAGGATGGTGGTGGAAAAGACATAGATAGGTAACAGATAAAGGCCTTAACTTCAATATTAGATCATATTTGTGATCAATATGTAAATATTTTATGGATATATTTTAGTATTTGAAAGTATAACTGCACATGTATAATTTTTTTAAATCAAGTATACATTAAGATACCCACATACATGTACACTTGTAAGGAATGACTTCATTAAGGAAATTCTTGATATAAATATTCTTCATTTAAATAAATATGTACTTCCCATAATAACTTGGGTCATTCTATAAATGTACTTAAGGAACTCTAGTTTTTCAAAGAAAAGACACGGTAAATTCCTATGTTAAGTGAAGTCCTTTGTAAAGTAATTGTCACATTTAATTTCATTCATTATTTTCTAATAAATCAGGTTTACCTAACACCAACCTGAAAAGTTTAAATTTTAAAAGATTCTTATAAAAGAGTATAACACATCTCTCCCCTTTCCACCAGAATAATCATATCTAGTCTACGAAATATGGCTTTTTTTTTCAGTTTCCTCATGTTACTTTTATCCAGTAAAGGTCTAATTATGAAAGGGAGGAAAAATATATGGGTAACTTCAAACCTGTTAGTAGTGTACAATGATGAATATCTTCACTTACAAATTTCACGAATGTATCCTCATCCTAAAATGAGAGAATTTTTAAATTAAAAAACCCAAATTTCCAAATCCAGTTTTTTTTAACATTCATCTTAGTACTTGGGATTGAGTACATGTTTTTAATCTTTAATAAATAAGAAAATTAAAGAATTTTTATGACTCTCAAAGCAGTAGCTCAAATATCCTGGAAACTTAAAGTTTGTATATGTACTTATTTTCCACTGGGTATAGTCATAATAATGACTGTAAAGAAGGAATAAGTTGAAAAATTCTTGGTAAACTTGGGAAAACAACTTAAATTAAGAATAAAATCAACAGCAAGAACAAGAAAGAAACACAGAAAGCCATGGATTTAAAGAGTTAAGCATCATTTTGAAGAGCTTATTTTGGGACCTTAATTTACAAACATGTTTTATACTTTAATAAAATTTGAAGGAAATCTCAGAAATATATACTGCAAAAAGAGAAAATACTCTTAAACCCTGCACCTCTCCCCCCCTTTCTTATTCCATAGCCTTTCATTTGTAGTATCAGAGGCACATTAAACCTATTATGGTCCTATACAGTAGGGTTAGAATGCAGGTAGTTTTAGTGTGATTTACATGATGACGTAACAACAGAATAGGTGCATATAATAAGCAGACATAAAGTATAAACAAACTGTAATGATTTAATACACAGATTTTAATAAAACCCAGAAGGCTCTTAGCCAATAATATTTCCTCAAGAAAAGATCAATATAGTTTTTCTTTGTAGATAGGGTATATTGTGTATGGTAGTAACTTAGCTTTACAATCAAATTATTTCCCATCTTCAGTGATAACTACCTAAATACCCAATTGCTTTTACATCCAACTGATTTTATGATATTGTCAATGGGAATATATATTTTATGACACGTCTTTTATCTCAAATTATGTAAAAAATTGAGAAAAACATACTGATTCATCCTCATCACTGATGGTTCTGTCTGAATAGTCTTCCTTTTCTGAATCTTCAGACATCTCTGCCGGTGACTGGCTTGAAATTTATTATGTGCATCGGCTGCAAAACAATTTCTAAGGAACTTATTAACAGTGACAAGTCTCCTTTAAAAACTAAATCAGGTTGCAACTAATTAAGCCTTCAACTTCGAAGATTTGAAGAAATTTTCCATTACTATGAGAAAAACACGAAATCACAATAAAAGACAAAGCAAACAATTTAATTGAAAAAGATTTTCAGAGTACAAATTATTTACATTCTATATTTACAAACACTGCACAATGTTAGTGCATTAAAAGATAGTAAAGCAAGAAAAACTATACTTATTCAAGCAGTGAAATGTGCAATATACTTTTAAAAGTATTTTTTCCTCAATTTTCAAGCGACCAAAAATTCACGGGACTGCGAATGACTTTTCTCCTTACACTTTGATTAGTATTCTGTAGATAATTGTTCTAAGTTCGATTATATTTTCACACTGAGATATCAATAGCTACCAGGTTGTACCGGCGACGGTCATCACCGCTTCCCCGCGTGGCTATTAAGTTAACGGAATAATAGCCATTCCTTGTCAAGATTCTATAGTTTGGGGGAGATCAAGGGTATTTACTAAGTTCAAATGGACTGGTTTACGTTCCTCTCTACAGAAAGCGAGCACTCATGCTAGAAGGCCGGCCAATCTCCGGGGCAAAGGACTACAAATGCAAGGGAGAGAACCGTTTATGGGCGACATCTCGGTATTAAGGGACTTAGTTGGGGTCACGACCCCAATTGTGCAAAGCTGGACTGGCAAACGTCGCGACTGTTTCCTTACAGGTCAAGTACGCCAGGCGCTGACCTGGGGTGGAATCGTGAAAGCCCCACCCCAAGTGTTGGGGCGCTTTCGGGTGTCCCGCCCCGGAAGCAGGAAGTGAGGCGGGCGGAGCCTGCGGCGCGAGCGTCGCTTTCTGGGCGGGGCGGGGAACGCGATGACGTCCCGAAGCTGGGCCGTTTCCGCTCGCACTCACTTCGGCCGGCCTTCGCAAAGGGCGAGGGAGCTAGTGTCTTCTTCCCGAGGACGCCAGCCTCGGGAGAGCCTTCAGGCCAGGCCGGCTGCCCACTCGTGCTGGGGGACTATTTCAGGGGGTCCCTGAGACACTTCGCGTCCAAAAGCGGGAAGGAACTTCACTGTAGTTCAAAAGCCCCAGGCACGCCCTCCAGCCAGCCACCCCCCCGCGGGTTACCAGGGCAACGGCCCCACCCTCGGGAGACTTCGGGCTGTCCTTGGGAATGGGCTAGTGACTAGTATGGACGCAATGAGCATGCGCGGGGTTTTGCCTGCAGAAAAAGGAAGCCCCAGGAATGATGGGAATTCGGGGTAGAGCCGCAGGGCTGGCACAAAGAGTCTGGGACTAGTTAGGTCTTTGGGGACTAGTGGGAGGATTTAGGAATGGGAGACGCTGGACGGCAGTTTGTCCCTAAGGTTCTGCACGTTGGTTGTTTGCCAGGTCCCAGAGAAGTCAGGATAGAACATACTGCTTAAGACTTGTGGTTTAGAACTCATCTGAATTTAAGAGCATGACCACAGACAATTATCTGAACTAAAGTTTCTTCATCCGTGAAATGGGTATAATTGCAACTACATCTTGGAGTTGTTAGAAAATTAAATCGAAAGTATGGTGGTTTTTATTTGTGCACACATTGAGTTCTCTGTGCAGTTGTGATTAATGATCTATACGCTAGAAATGAGGATTTTCTCCTTCAATACCTGATTTGGAGACGTCTTGGATATTTGAGGGTAAACTGAAAATTCTAACCAGCTCAGAGATAATTTTGTCATTACTAGCTGTCTGCTGGGGTACAGCAAATCACTTTATATGTATTGTCTTATATAATTAAATATAATTTCCCATAACAGGCATTATTTGTTTACATCTCATCTTAATTTGTCTTTATCTTTAGCTCTGGTGGGTAATATATGTAGAACAGTTTTCCAAGTGTAGCTGAAAAAAAAATGTATAGATACTTGAAGCTTCCCTGAGCCACTGTGTATCCTGAGGTTTGTGCTATTGTAGACTAGAGATAGTGGACTATATCAAGTTTGAAAGAATAAAGGGCAAAGCACAATGGTGTAAGAATGGAAATAGGTTAACATCTCATTAGAGTTTGTAAGTTTAGAAAAATTAAGTCTTTTTAGGTTAGCAATTTAGAAATTTGGACCTTCGTTTGGATCTTCCTGATTACCCCCTTGGCTTGATAAAGCATATCTTAGATCAAAAGTCTTTTGAAAATTAGTCTTTCAATTTGTACTTTGTTTTTTGCCATATCACTAAAGGGGATGCACAGAGAATCTTTATTGTGGTTTGGATGGACCCCCAGAGGTTCATGTGTTAAAATTTCATCACCATTGTAAAATTTAAGAGGGTAGAAACTTAATCCAACTGGTGTTAGGAGGTAATTAGGATTAGATAAGGCCATCAGGGTGAAGCCCCATGATTGAATACTGATGAGTTTATAAGAAGAGTGAGATCAACCAGAGCACACACACACACACACACACACACACACACACACACTTTCAGAACTTTGCCAACAATAAGCCTGTCACCATATGTGACCATATGTGATTATATGTGACCATATGATCTTGAATCTCGAGAACCATGAGCCGAAATAAAACTTTTTTTCTTTAAACTTATCAAGTCTGTGGTATTGTGTTATGGACAACAGAAAATGGACTAAGACAATCTTTATATGTGGAACCATTTTTTTCTATTGGATTTTAATCATGATTACAAGCTAGAGGATTCCAGATGCATGAGGTGAAGCTCTGAGAAATGATCTAATCACGTTATACAAGTAAATGGGAAAGCTGTTTGAATATTTACATAATTATATGTCAAGAAATAGAGAAAAATCATCTTAATGCATAATGAAAATATTTAGGCCTTCCCTGGCCACTCCATCTAAATAAAAGAGCTAGATGAGAGGGGATGAGAGGACTTCAGTTGGGTATCTCTTTTAGATAGGGTGGCCGGGAAGGCCTCTAACCTAATGGCATTTGAGCAGCTGGCCAGGAAAGACCTTGTCAAGGCAGGCAAGGCAGCAAGTTTGCAAGTACAAAGCTCTGAGAGAAGTATTGTATGAGGCACTACTGTCCAAAGAAAGCTTAGCTGGAATCAGTCATTTTAAAGAAAGAGGTTTCATAAGGACTTAAGTAAATTTGAAATGATTTTCTTAAGCACTTGCTTTTTTTTTTAAACTTAAAAAAATTTTTTTTTATTATTGTTATTTTTACTTACCCTTCTAGATTGTAGCATATACTGGGAATGAAGGTCTTTGGCTTTAGTTAAAGTGGAAGTAAGGCCTGGAGTAAACTTCTACCAAGGACTTTTGAGTATTTTGTTCTCTTTCCCTATGATATTACCAGAGAAGATTACTTGACAACTCCTTACACAGCCAGTGTCTGCCTTTTGGGAAGGCAGATTTATTCCTGTAGCAATTTCCCTTTTCTACTTTTTTGGTGAGTTTACTATATATATATATTTATATGTATAATATATATACATTATGTATATGTAAATAATATATATACATACACATATATATATATACACATACATAAAAGTAGAGTTAAGAGGAAAAGATAACCAAGATGATATATACCCCAAAAGACACTGGTATGAGAATTGGCAAGAAAGTCCATTTTAGCAAAATGGCTACATGTAAGCCATGTTAGGAATACAATTTATTTTGCGGAATTATATCAGGAGCAGAAACTTAAATGAGAAAATGAAGTGTCTAGGGCGATCAGTTCCTTATGACATCATAGAAGCTGGTGATCACAGGGCCTTCAGGTCTTGTCACAATTTGGCTGACAAAGCCACACCAGGAGATAGCAGCTGCCTTTGCCTTCCTCAGACTATCTGGGTGTAGGATGACACAGTAGGGCCAAACGTCTCAAACTGTTTCTAAGTTCAGATCTTGATATCTGTTTTAGCCAGCAATTAACCAAGTTCCCCTTCAAACTTGGAAATGAGGTATTGTAGTAAGAATGTCCCCTGCCTGCTTAGCAAATAACAAGATAAAGTACCTCAAAAAAAGGAGTGGTGCCCAGGCTCAGTGTGAAATTTTATGACAAAAACCATGGTCTCCCTCTTTAATAACTGTCCTGGAAATGGGCAGTTGTGAAGTCTTGTTTCCCACTGAGGACATGTTGGCTGGATTCTGTGACTACTACTTTAGACTGCTAAAACAGTTTCATTTTGACATTAAAAATTTCATACTGGTATTTAGTATTTAGATTTGGTATTAAGTTCATTTTAAACTTCATTTCAAAACTATTCAAAGCCCTCCTTTCCTTGCCTCCCAGAGCAACCTAGAGCTATCCCTGATATCAGAAATTCGGTCTCCTGAACTCAATATCAATTCACAAATGAGAGTGAGGTTTTTAGAGAAAAGGAAGTTAATGATTAATTTTGCTAGGCAAAATGAGGAACACAAGTCCTACTTCTGGGTTGTTGGTGGGTTTTTAAAGGAAATCTTGAGTGAGTATGGGCTTCTGTATGTATGTACTGAGGCCTGACTTTGACCAGATTGTGCCCTTGGGTCTGCTTATTAGCTAATGTGCTGGTATGATTCTCTGGAATTGTGTTCCTTGCTGTCCTGAACATTCCTTCATTCCTGTGGTCAGGGAGAAAAGGACAGAAGCTTGTTGACCTTGCCTGGAGCTGTAAAGACATTCTTGAGTTCCCTTGCATGGTAGAATGGGCAAAAGGAGATAGACAAAGAGAAAGAAAAGGATAAAAAATGTTTAAAACTGTGGAAAACTTGTGTAACTGAAAGGCTGATTAGTAAATTGAGTCGGTTATTGGGCTCAAACTACAGTTGTGAGCACATTTAGGTATCTGTTCCTGTTACATCCCAGCTGTAGTGGCTTGCAAAATGGGAGTCAGGTTGGAGTTTTGCTATTTACATTCTTTCCTTCTTCCTTCTAGATTCTAGCTTCTTGCTATGTTAGGGTAAAGATGGGCTGAAGCCCACAGAGCAGAGGTCTGCTTAGCCAAATTACCGTCTACATGGCTGTCTCATATGCTACTTTTGTTCTGTCTGTGAATTCATGAGGACAGCAGTGACTGCATTCCCCTCTCCCACCCCCAACACACACAGAGACACACACACACAGAGACACACACACACACAGAGGTCTGTCTTCAAGGCCTACTCCTAGGTAAAAGTCTTTTGTGAAAGACTGAGGGGAAAAGTGGTTAAGAGTGGGGGTTCAGGAACTGTCTGCTGATGGGAAAATACTCTGCCACTTACCAGGTGTATGAGTATGGGCAAGTTCTTAAAGTTCTCTGAGCTTCAATTTATTTTCCTGTAAAGTAGAGATAATCGAGTAGTACCTGTCTTGTAGGGTTACTGAAAGGACTGAACGAGTGAATAACAGAGTTCTACTATGCACTTGTTCACTCGTGTGGCATGCGAGGCAGCAGATTTGAGCCATCACTCTCTGTGGCATATGGTAGTGGTTTTCAAGGTGTTCTGCAGGATCAGTAGCGTCAGCATCATGTGATCCAAATTCTCAGGCCCTACTCCAGACCTATGGAATTAGAAACGAAGAGTGGGACAATATATGTTTTAGCAAGTCTCTCCCACCCCAGGTGATCATGATGGACCCTAAATTTTGAGAACCATTGAGACAGAGGATTGAGTGTGGACTCCAGAACTAGAATACTCGGTTGTGTATCTGGGCAAGTTATTTACCTTCTTGCTTCTGTTCTTTGTAAAATGGATATATAATGATGCCTACCTGCTGGGTTCGTTATGAATATTAAGATGGTTATATACACAAAGTGTTAGAGCACAGTAATTTGCTCTCACTCTGGTCTTTTCAATGAGAACCTTTGAAGCAGATGTTCTCACAGAGACCTAGGGCAACAGAGAGATCTTGCTTCTCAGTGCACAGTCTCCAAAGCAACAGTCACTGCAGCAACACTTGGAAGCATTAGAAATGTGAACTCTCAGGTGTCCCTTCCCCAACCTACTGTATAAGATCTGCATGTTTTAACACGAGTGTTCCTTTCAGTAGAAAAGGGGTATTATATAACTCCACTCTAGACCTAGTGAACCTAGGACACCTGATTTTCATCACTCCAAGCACCTGTCTTAGGAATGTTGGAAGGCCCTAAACATACAATAGATGACACTGATCCTAAGAAAAGCAAGTTTGTATAGAAGAGTGCTGGAGAAGGTTTGAAACTAGTTAAACTCATCTTGTGTTCTATATGATTGCAGTCCTTTTGCATAACGTTAGCATATTTGGTAAAAGATTATTGGATGAAAGTTCCTTTTCCAGATGGAAATGACCAATTGGGATTTCTAAAATAGATACCTAAAGTCTATTCTAGTGAAACATTTTTTTAAAATAATATTTCAAGATAACCATCAGATTAAAAATATGCCATGGCAAACTTCTACTAAATCTGAATTAGAGTGAAACAAGTGGCCAATACTCTCTATGGGGTTGAGATGCTGAGGTGAGCTGAGCTGACACATGAAATACAAATCTAGGAACACAAAATATCATAAAACAAACGAACCTCTCCGAAATCTTAAAAATTTATGACTCGTGCTTATCCCAAACCATTCTGGCCAAATCACTGCTGGCTGTGCCCCTATACTGAGCTGTCACACGCTCACATTGTTTGTAAGTTTGCTGAGCTGAAAGAAAAGATTGGTTGCCCTTCTGGAAAGAAACTAGATGATGGTCTTAACTTCTTAATGTCTGGTGATGCTGCCATTGTTGACATGGTACCAAGCAAGGCCAGGTAAGAGATTATTTGGATGAAGATTCCTTATCCAGGCAAAAATGTTGAGAACTTCTCTATTCTCTTCTAGGATTTTTTCTGTTTGTGACATGAGACAGACAGTTGCTATGAGTGTCACCCAAACAGTGGACAAGAAGACCACTGGAGTTAGCAAGGTCACAAGTCTGTCCAGAAAGTTGAGGAGGCTAAATGACTATCATCCCTAACACCTGCAACCCCCAGTCTTACTCAGTGGTGGAAGAATGGTTTCAAAACTGTTTTTCTCAATTGGCCATTTAAATTTAAGAGTAAAAGACTGTTTAATGATAAAAATTGCATCATGAAACCTTCAGAAGGAAAGGAAAATGTTTTATGGACCATTTGTGTTTGTATGTGTGTTATGTGGCAATTTAAAATTGTTTTTAAAACATTTTTTGATGTGACTAGGGTTTGAACTCAGGACTTCAAGCTTGCAAAGCAGGTACTCTACCACTTGAGCGGCACCTCCAGTTTGTTTTGTTCTGGTTATTTTGGATATGGGGTCTTGTGAACTATTTTTCCTGGGTTGGCCTTGATCTTCCCAATCTCAGTCTCCCAAGTAGCTAGAATGTAGGCGTGACCCACGAGCACCTGGCTATTAATTTTTAAAATCAGTTCTTTTTAGTGAAAACATCTTGACCAAAAATCTGTCACAGAATTTTGAGACCTATTAAAAAGTTTGATGAGAAACCCATGTCTTCTTTTGGCTAACATTGAAACTTACATAGAAATGCTTAGACAAAAGACTTAACTATTGCTTGCCACCTATTTCATGGTGTTTAGAATCTGCTGAAACTTCACAAGAAAATAATTCAGAGTTAATACTTTTTTCCTGGTTAGAAATTTAGTGTGAAGGGGAAAGGATCTTGTGTCAAGCATCTAGTGGAAGCCATGGGGAGAGCTTTGTTCATTGCAACACTATTGGTTAGCATGGGAACGTTAACTTTGTGTAATTTACTTAAGGCCAAATCTTGTGATATTGAAAGCCACGTGTTTACATCTAAAATTACGTGTAGCTCTAATAACCCTGAGTAAGGTTTATGAAATCTTACAAAATTATTTAAGAAACATTTTAAAAATATGAAAGTGTTTTTCTTTTTAAAGAGTGAAACCAATACTCAGTGTGAAAAACATGTTTTGCCTTGCCATCCTCTTTATTACAAAAGACACACCTCTTCCCATCAATATGCTACATAAAAATATATGAGGCAAAGATTTTTTGGAGGAATTCCATTTATTGTGGATGCATTTTCACAATATATTTCTATTGCAGCGGTCAGCTATCAGTGAGAAATATTAAGTGTTTATAACATTTTTAAGAATGGCAGATTCACAGAACATGCTAGTCAGCTTGTAATTTTATCTCTTAAATATAACAGAGCATTGTAATCCAACAAGTAAATGAGGAATTTGTTTTTCCAAAGATTAAATTCAAACTGAGCAAACTTCTACCCTAAAACCTATTCCATCCAAATATTGGAATAAAAGTCAGGATTGATACATTCTCTTCTCAACTTTAGACTTTCTAGAAAAATACATAATAGCGATCAGGAGAAGCTCTTGTTCAAAAGATTAATAAAGCAATGTTCTTCACCATTGGCCTTAATTCAAACTTTGATCCATTTCACTCCAATGATGAGAGTCATTACACATGGGTACTTCATGTACTTTCTAAGTTTTCTTATCGTAGATTTGTCTACTGTGTCATGGGTGAATGACTTGTGCAATCTTGGTGGCTTTCATTCCTTTGGCCCAGGTTTGCTAAAAGCTAGGGGACTCAACTAATTGTTACTGATTTATGAGGAAAATAGAATCTAGAAGGCAGTGGTTACTCTTCAACCCTGCTCTGGCTAGCTCTTTCTGGGAAATATGTGGATTAGGAGCTAGGTATTTGGGAGGCTCCCATAGTGGATTAGGAACTGAAACTAAGACAATTTTGGTGAAGTTGGTGGAGGTATGTATTAGTTTACATAGTGACACTGTATATATATGTCTATAGAAGGACATCTTGACAAGATACTGCTGTACTCTTTCATCATCTATTGGAAAGAATAAAGACTTACAGGTTGAAATAAGATTTGATATCTGGATTGTGTGTGTAAAAATGGTAAGTCAATAAGAACTCTTCGGGAACTAGTAAAATGAACATATACTTTTGAAATTTCAGCACATTATCAACTTATGACAAGTACTAGTGAATAATAAAATAGAAAAGTTTAATTAAAAATGTTTCAGAATATATAAAGATGGAAGTACTGTCATGTCTCCTAACTACTGGATTTCACTCACTGTACTTTTCTCTGCTGCCAGATATGAGCCAAAGTTGGTCTTTGTTTAGACCTTTATGTGGAACTCTAATTTATGCAATATGTTCATGGAAATTCTTATCTTTAAATTTTAGAGAAGGAAGACACCTTAGGTACCATGTAGGCCAACTTATTGTGAACTTTGTTGTTCCAAATAAGTAGGCTTTGAGCTTGATCCAGATGGAAGACTTAATAAAATTCACACTGGACTTCAAGATTGCCTTCAATTATAAACTAAATACTATGTCTTATAGAAAATTTCAACTCATTTTGACACTTCTAATCTTTTTTTCAATATGTTTTCTTACAGGGCATTGGGCATTGACAATATATTGATACTTATCTGCCATGTTTTTATTGGCAAATATGAAATATTAATATAATATTGTGATTTAAAAATTTTAAGGAGCTGTGATATTGGATAGTTACAAAGGACATACTACTAAATATCATAGTCTAGCACATGAAAAAGCATTCTACCATTAATGTGTTTGTATATGTGTATGCACATACATACATAATTGAGTAATCTAAAATGTGATTCAGGATACTATCACTATCAAAGAAATCCACAAAGCAACCAACCTAAAAAAAATCAGTACCACTGTCAGCTAATATAATAATCCAATTTAGATATGAATCAGCACACAAAAAAGTTATACCTTAACAGTACATCTCTTCTTTTTTTTTTTAAAAAAAGACAATCATTATTGCCATATATCAAATCTGAAATGGGTTACTTTCAGAAACAGTTACAATTGCCTACTTAGATAATTTCTTCCATGCTTTATTCTAAAGTGCAGAAACAACATGACTTCTGTATTAAAAAACAAAACAAAACAAAAAAAACTATGGTTCATTTTTCTAGATACTGCACACATTCCTCAGGCAATCTTAACCTTGGATCTCTTTTTGTTGACTTCCAATGTGGTTGGCATCACTGTTCAGATGAGTTATAATGAGCAGTAGAAATGTCTCTATTTCACAGCATGGGTTTCTTTAGAAACAGGCTCCTGTGCAAAGGCAGTACTTTGATATGAACATCTCTAGACGTGATTGTTAAATATAGTGATCATATACATGGGTTTACTGAGATATTGGAAAATAGAGCAAAAGAAAATGAACCCAATTTAGTAAATCAACATAAATATAAAACAGAGCAATTAGCCCTCTACAACTGAGCTGGTCCAGCGTCTTGAGCTTGGGTTCTTTCTTTCTTGAATTGTCTCAAACCTGCTGAGAGAAGAGAACTTTAAATCAGCAGCCCACACTGTTTCAGCCAGATGGATTTTGTCAGAAGAAAAAGAAAAGGAATTATCATACAGCAGGAATAAATATTTATGAATAAGAAGATTACTGTTGACATTCTATTCAAATATGATCTTTTATTCTACCCTTTCTTCTGCTGAGTTTTTTTTTCACTTCTCTTTTCCCTTCTTTCTCCTTTATGTTCCCTTCTATCTTTCCTCACTGCTCATGACATTCAGAGTCTAGAGGTGTTTTTAAAGCTCTACTAGGCCAGGAATTTCTAGTGTGCATTCAAGGAAAGGCACACATGTCTGGGTAGCTCAGTTAGGCCACGATAAAATTCAGTGGTGAAGTAGGATATGTTTCTCTTTGGATTTCTTCCATTTTCCCCCTAGAAATCTATTATTTTCTCTCTCCTGTTCTTATGTCCTGCCCCCCTGAGACTTACCTGACTCTTAATCCTTTTCTTATTCTATTCTGCTGCCCTCTCATTGAGCTGCTAAACATCGCTGCTGAGGTATTAACAAATATAAATGTGTTGTAAATTCGATTTTTAATATGCTGTGTATTTTCATGCCAAAGGATTGAATGTATGAGAAGTAGTGAGTTTGACATTTTTGCAGCAGAGTTACCTAATCAGCTGGCTCAGCTCTGGTGCTGGTGGTTATATTATTCCTGCTGTAAAAGGAATTCAGTGTATGCAGACCAGGGAGGAGTGTGTGGTGTGTGTGAAAACTCTGCACCTCTCTACCTTGTGCCACCATATGTGCAATTCTAGGGCTACCATTCCTGCAGTATTGTATGGGAGTAGATATCTCTGATCATATAAGTCATCTTTGTTCCACTTTCTAGAGCTTTGGCTCAGAGGAATGTGTATAGAGAGACTCCACTATACTTGAGATACGGGTTCTAGACAGCTGACATCACCTACTCAGAAAGGAGGCTGTCTAAATACTGGAAATGCCCCTTCTGAAAGGTCAGATATCTATGCTAGCAGTATTAGAAAGGCTTTGGTCAACAAGTTCATTCTTTTGTTTAAAAAACAAGCAAAAATTCCTCCTATCCCCTGCCACCAACAGAAAATTATTCAAGGAATTTTAAAACTTTACACTTTCTGCTGACTATGCATCCTCAAAAAAGTGGCTTGTGAGTTCAGACCAGATAGCTTAGGTATCAGTCAATATTGTGTTGTTTATTTGCGGTGCACTTTAGGAAAGTTACTTAACTTCCCAGTGCCTCATTTTCTTTAGCTGTAAAATGGGAATAATGCAGCTGGCGGATCGAATGAGATTATAACAGTGCTGGCATATAGTAGCTGCCTTGGTGTTACTAGTCTGGAAAACTGAACTTTCTTAAAATTCACTTTAAGCAGAAAGCCTGGATTTTAATGGAATAAAAGAGTAATAACAGAGAAGATGAAGCTCTGTCAGATTTAAGAGCTTGTAGAAAGTAGGAAAGAGGAAATAATGAAGTAATTCTCTCATTTTAGTGAATCCCAGTGATTCTAGGGTTCTTTTTTTTTTTTTTTTTAAAGACAGGGTCTCACTATATAGCCCAGGCTGGCCTCAAACTCATGACCCTCCTGTGTCAGCCTCCTGAGTGCTGGGATTCTAGATGTTCAGTCCCTTGCTGGGCTTTTTGATATGTTCTTTAGTCCTGAGTTTGCTTAAGAAGTGCCTCTGTCCCTAGGGTTCTGCATAAACTCATAAACAGACTGTTCTAACCTTACTTATTGTTGTTCTCTGATTTCTCTTTTTTAATTTTCCTCCATTAATAAGCAGAAGACTGTGTCTATTTCTCAAAATGGGAAAAGACTACAATTAGGAATTGAATTAGTTTCTTATACAACACTGGTCTTGTTTGTAGTGGTCTCATTGTCTTTTCTGAAGAATGCACATGCTCTTTGCCCAGAAGACCAAAAATAAAAAATGAATCTAAGCTTTATTAGCCATCAGTTTTAATAGGAGAGCAAAATTTGCCTTATTTTTGAATATCATTTTAATGTTTTTCCTTAGTAATTTCTAGTCCAAGGTTGTAGGCAATGCCCCCTAGGATGGTTCCAAAAAGCAGCTTTGGAGCCGCTAAGGGAGACAGACATTTCCCCCTAATGGATCTATTTTTCCCAAATCCTTGTGGTGCCAAGCTGGGGCCATATAAAGAGATGTAGACCCACATTATTCCCTTTGGCTGTCTCTGCCAATCTTTCTACCATTAGGGTTTATCTCTCGAATGTCTTACTGGGAGCCATTCCATGAACTTGAGCTGTTTATGTTATATGACTGACAAACCTGCAATGCTAAAGGCTCTGTGAACTTTTCCTTTTGCTGGACTACATACAGGTCTTTTAGAAACTAATGGTCATATAGGCACAAGTCTGTGGGTCAGCAATATTTCTCGTTTGACCCCAGGATATTATACTACAGGATTCATCAGGAAAATTTCCAAAATACAAGTCCTCCCCATAGATTACCTTAGTGGGGGAAGTGACCTTATCCACAGATTGCTTTTCCCAGAGGTTCCGTTTGCCAGATACATCTCCTGGCCTCAAGTCCTAGTGAAGAGAGAGCAGAAAAAGTTAAAAGGTGGCATCTAAATAACTCAGCCACCACACCTATTGTTTGTTTGAATCAATTGGTATTCAATACACATTACCCCAGATGGAAATGGAAGGACCAAAATGGATGGAACTGAAAGGACCATTAACTGTTACTTCATTTTATTCAGACTAGACCTGACTTATATGAGAATGGGCTGGAAATACATAGAGCATTTGGGTCTTTGTCCTTCATCCAGGGTTTACTATCTATTGAACAGTGAATTAGAATAGATGCATATTTAAAATAATGTAGCCTATTTTTAACTTTCTATATTCTTGAAAGTGAATAGACTATAGGTTATTTAAAAGATAATTCATGACCCAAACATTGTATGCACATATAAATAAAAGAAAAAAAATAAATAAAAGATAATTCATTTGGGGTTTAATAAACATTTCATCTTTTGCAGACTGAACTTTCTTTTGGTCCCCCTTACCATGTCAACCAGCCCTTACTACTTTAGTGCACACCAGCTGCTACCATGCATTTCTTTTCTTTTTCTGGCTGCAGATGACCACTTTGCCTTCCCAGAAGGCAGCCTAGAAGTTCAGAGTTCATCTCCCAGAAGCAACCCTCAACTGCTGACTGTTGGGGTTTGGTGTAAGAGTGCTGCTCAGCTCACTCATGCCTCAGGTAGGCTCACTCATTTTCTGGTGGATTCCAGGCCTTCCCTGGTGGGTTAAATTTTTACAGCTGGTGTAGTAGTGACTTGCACCACTACATTCTTTGTTGGCTGCCTTCTTCTCCCCATCTAACTCTTTATAGTGTTTTCTTCACTTCCCAGATAAACAGCACTGACTTAGGGTCTAGGCAGCCCAAACTAAAACACTAAAATCATTTTGTGTTTCCTGAGGGACAAGTGTGTAATTCAGAAGTGCATTTGTAGAACCTAGCCATGCAAAAATAAACATTTATCACAAATCATACTCATAAGAGAAGTTGACAGTTGATGACGTATGTAAGAACATGTGGGAATCTTGGGAAGGAAACACATTTAAAATATGATCCCTAACAGTTATACAGCTTTGACTCTTGATTTATTGAAGCAAGTGCTATGCGCACCTGCACCCGTGCGCCGTCAACTGCCGCAATTTACTACCTCATGATTAATTTCCTTTGGTTGAGGACCCAAATTTCTGTTTCCATTTACTTTTCTTCCAGCATTTGCTTATATTAGCACTTGGAAAAGGTTGTTTGTAGAAGATAAATGTGTTTTACTGAACTAGTACTGCTTATTTTGGCAACCCCATTTCTCATTAAGAAGGCAAAGCTAATAGCAATTGTATTTATTCACAGACACCAGTCTAAGTGGACATATTTCTAACACACAGTATTGAGATCTCAACACTGAAAATGTACTGTTAAATGGTATCCTGTGAAGCATTTCAAATTTGCCTTAACTTTATTCGGTTTCGAGATTTCCTCTGTGGCATGAATTCCTGATATTCTATCAGAGAGCTATACCTAGTTAGCTTGGAAACATTAAGCAACAAATCAGATTTTTTTTTAAAAAAAGAATTCCACTCCATTTGCCAATGAAGGTAAAAGTTGCCAAATTGTCTGGAAAAGTGTTTTAAAATTTTGGAAACTATAATTAGGAACATGCTGATGGAAGTGCTGTAAAGTGACTATTATCACTTATTTATTTGATTTGAAGGATACAAATATTTTTCTTTCACATGAATGCTCTACCTAAGAAAATAGATTACATTTCTCTTAAATCATGCTTACGACTCTTTCCAGATCACTTAAAGATTTTACTCAGTTTTAAGAAAAAATTAGCATCCAACTTGTAAGTAGCATTTTAAGTCAAAGGGGAAATATAAATGGAATTACCTGACCAAATTACATTTTAGAGAAAGACCCACTCCAGAAGAAGAGGGAGGAATGAAGGCAGGAAAAGCAGGTTTCCAATCAACCAGAGACCAAAGAGTGAAGAAGAGAAGCCAGCTGAGAAAGACATCATTTTTGTTTTTTGTTTTTAAACAAAAAGAAAGACAAATTAGCTTTTTAATTGGAATATAACATGCAGTTTAGACATGAAGAATACACAAATCAGCTAAAACAGACACACTCAGAATTGAATTCCAGTTATAAAATTATATTGAAATCCTATAAATTCTACCCATAAATACCTTACTGGATGTTATAGTAAGACATCCAGTGTAGGTCAATTTTTAATTTTAAATATATTAATTTGCAGGGACCTCAAAGACTATTGATTTGACAAACTATTTTAAGCATTTGTAATTCTTAGCATCTATGAAGATGATTGTGTCTATCATCTATCTATCTATCATCTATTTATCTATTTATCAATCATCTATCTACCTATCACCTATCTATCTATCATCTATCTAGTTATCTATCAATCATCTATCTAATCTATCACATCTCTTTAATGAGTTTTAGAACTTAGTACTTTAATATTAGAATTACTGTTTTTCTTCTTCTTAGGTTTCACTTGGTAAGGACTGTTTTGTTAAAATAACTTCTCTCTGATTTTGTCCTAATGGCTACATGCTACACACCTGCAGACACCAACCTAAACTTTGTCCTTCCCCCATCCATGTCAGGAATATAAGCAACAGGCTAAGGCTGGGGATAAACTGTCTCTATTCCACAATCACAAGGTACCTTTGGGGCCCTCCTATTTGCTGTTGTTTTAGATAATCCTCTGACATTCTGGGTTCAGGGTCAATCTAACCAGAGTCCCAAGGATGTCAAACTCAGATATCTCCCATGAAGGATCAAGATGGAAACCCAAATGCCTGCAGAGGCTTGGGTGTAAGAAAATAAGGAAAAGAGATGCATTCAAGAATGCATGCTTCCATACCACAAAAATTTATTCAAACTATAATTAAAAAAAAAAAGAAAAATGGTATGGGTTAAACTACACAGACCTGAGCTGCGGGTCACCAGTGTGAGACCCTGTGGACAAGATGTTAGATCCTTGTCTACCTGTCTTCTCTGGGCGTTTTGCCCAACAACTTTAATGCAAACTTTAATGTAGGATCTTTCCAGTACTTTCCACATTGCTGACACTTCTCCTCCTTTCTGCTGGACCCACAGTGTCTGTGAATCACTCTCCTGCCTTGCTGGACTCAAAGTCATATCCTTTGCCAAAGAGACTGCCATGTTGCTAGCCATGATTTGACATGGTTCTAGGACTAAAATATGGGTCACTACTAGCTGTGGAATGTGAGCAAAGCTTAAAGTGATTTAATAAGTATACTCAAAATATCATTTTACTTCTGACATCAATTATATATTGCTTTTCTTCCAATCTGGTCTTTACTTAGGCAGTTAAACTAGTCCACATAATCTGATGGGAAGAAAGAGATCACTAAAATCTATACTAATTTCCTTTGTCTTTTCTTTTCCTCTCCACTCTCTAGGAGGTGGTCAGGCAAATCACTTACTAAATGGAAGGTAGAGTGGACAATGATTTTATAAGTTCCTTGTACTTTTTTGTCCTGTCATTTTTTTAGGAGGCCATCAATAACCCCAGGAAATAAATATGTATTTTTGGTGTGGGAAACTTGACACAGTTATACCTGTTGTAATAATAACTGCATTTACACTTAATTTTTTTAATCCTTTCCATTGGGATGGGATATGGTTATCAGTTCAAGTGCTGATAAAACGAGAAGGAGACAGTCTTAGATCAAATTCATGAGTATAATTTGATACAGAAATGAAATGGATCACTAATGTTATAAACATGGAAAAAAAGGACAATCATCTCCTCTAGTGATATACCATACTCAAACAGGAAAACACGATCTTTCTCTCCTTACCCTTCCTATCTTGACAGCTCTTTGGGGGGGAGGGGGTCTATGAACTTCTTGCAATTGTATTTTATGTGTGTTGTATGAGAAGAGGGCCCTAAGATCTCATTAGGTTTTTCAAAGGGGTCCATAATTTAAAAAATTAGTAATCACTGGTCTGGAACCATAAAATTTATATAAGTTGGTTTGTTTGTATTTTGAAATAATTTCTACTCTTTACATTACCATGAATGTTGGGGAGACTTCAGTACCTAAAGAGCATATACCTTTTGGTGTGGTTTCTTGCTTCATTTGTCTCCTTTTATAGGGCCCCTCTCCTATAGGGCCTCTTTCTTACCGGAAGAGATAAAAATACTTTTTTTCCAATTCAATATGTAAAGATTGTACAAGGATAAGTTGGGTTCATGTTAATTTATGTCTCCTGTGAATCCTTATGCAAAAATTCTGAGTTGCACCCAAGAAGAGTATGCAAAGATTTCCACCAAATTTAGTGACTTTGAGCCAACAGATATAATTAAATGCTACTGTGGCTCAACAGCACAGAGACCTGTGATTTGGAAAGCTTTTCTTCTTTTGTAGAATGCTGAGTTATGGCAGTTGACTGCTTCCTTGGGTACCACCACAACTATAGAGCCAAATTAACAGAAAAAACTTAGAAATTTATAGTGGGGAACTTAGTAAGGTTTATTTATTATAATGATAAATGCAAGGTAATTATCATATACATTCAATGTAAAGATTAAGAGGATATTTTTATAGTAAAATTGCTACATTTAATAAAAAAAATTTTAGATTTTCAAAAACAACACTCATAGCTAGTTTTTCTAGTTTCCAATTTTACTGGTTATTTGAAAAATGGAACCCATTTTTCATTTTTCATTTTTTTATGGTTTTCCTTTGCAGGTGTTGAGAACAAAATTGTAGCAATCATTTCAATAACTGTCCAAGAACTGCATTCTATGCCAAGTTGTAGAAATCAAGTGAATTAGAAAATATGGGTTCATAGCAGCCAACATATACATCCTTTTGGGAATAAGTTTAGGGGTAGTTGTAGTAGAGAAATAGCCAAAGAAATCTGAAATTGTGTTTTTACATTCCTATCTGTATTTTATAGAATGGAAGCTGAACAAATAGACCAGTAAAGGGACTGAATTTGAACTGCTTCAAATTCTGACTAGGTTCTCCTCTCAGTCAGGGGGACAAGGCAATGATTTGGTTCTATTTTACCGTCTGGGTGATTGTGCCACCATGTTCAGGACTGTTCTGGAGCTGCAAGCCTCCTTGTTACTTATTTAGCACAGATCAGGTAAACAGGCCAATTGCTTGGTTTCTTCTGCTGCTGGAAACTGAGAGATCAAAGGACCTCAGAAAAAACAGAAGCTACTTACAGAAGGTTTGGAAGCAGGTGACTTGTTCCCATCTGGGGTTTTAGTTAGCCATTCATTGATGCGGCTGGAAACTCCCACCTTTAGGCCAGCAGTTTCCTACAAAGAGTCAATTATCCAAGATATTAAGAAAAGAGTAAACTTTACCTGGAGAGAGGGGGATCTTCAAAGCAAATTCAAAATACCATTAAGCACTATTTCACATAACCACAGACCTTAAACTTGACATTAAAAGAATGTCTAGGTTTCTTCCCCCTGAACCTCACACCACCCCAGCCCCAAGGGCTGACCATCTCGGGCCCTGCATTTTGGAGTTTCAGGGCCAGGGATCAGTACCCAGGATAGCCTCATGAGCAAGTTTTCTTCCAGCTTTTTTTACAGTCATTGCAAAACCAAGTACAAATTGCACCTTCTTTATTGCTTTTATTATGAATGAGGGTGAGTCCTAAAACAAAATGGAAAGAAAAAATCCACTCCTCTAAAGTTAAAAGACACAAACCACATGCTCACCTTATTTGGTGTGCCTGACGCAGTGGGGGAGGAAAACACATTCCCTTTCTCCCACAAGCTCTTGATATTGCGAACGCCTTCAGCAGGAACAGGAAGATCTGAGGCTGCTGGCTTGGTAGGTTTTGCAGCTTTTGTTCCCTGAAATGTGCAAGAATTCATTTTAGGATAATGCTGAGAAATTTGTCCTTGTAAAATGATAGTGAGCTGGTCTTCGTCAACATGATCATTTAACAATTTCATGGTGTAAACACTTCTACTAAAAATGAGTCATAATTTCTATTGTAAAACTGCACTTTGATGACATAGAGTCCTCAGAGTAAACTCTAAGAGTGGATGAGAGGATCTTTCAAAAATGAGACACTATTTTTCACTTCAGAGTACACAGGAGAAGAGAAAAACAAAACCAAACCCATCCAATTACTTCATTGTAGGTGCTCTGATATGGAAGCTAAAACCATCGACTTAAGTCTACAAAAAGAAGAACAAACTAGGAATGCATCATGATCAATGACATGACCCTATTTTAGTGCTTTGTACTTAGAAATGCACATTATTTCCAAATGCAAAGCCTCCAGATTAATTGAATGGGAAAAAAAAAAGTTGACACAGAAATATAAAAAATATAAAGCAATCAGTTTGAAGTTGATGATTGTTATATTACTTTATTGTTACCACTTTTATTTGACATTAAGAGCTTTTATAAACAAAAGAGGATTAAGCAAGATGCCAAGGGACCTATTTAAATCACATATAAGAATACATTGTATAAGGGATTAAGGATACTGAAGATACATCTGTAAACATTTACATAATCCATTAAAAGAATAATACTTTCATGCAAGAATATTCAGGCCCAAAGTAGTAAACAACAATCTATTTAAAAGTCTTCAATAATTTACTTTTATTGCTGTATTTATCCCTAACTAGATCATAAAGCATCTTTGAGATTCTAAAACTACAGTGGCTACTGAACCTGTTTATTGTCCTAAGTATTTCTAGGATCTTCTGTGTCATCAGAGGCTGTTTCTGTTTCAAGCACCATTCTTAGAGGACAATTCTCACCTCAATTGCACTGGTGTATTGCTCCAGTCTGCTGTCAATCTTGGAGACAACTGCTGCTTGATGAGTTGACTTGACACCACTATTAAATAAATAACACATCCATAAAAACGTGTGTGTGAGAGAAGAATCTTCCCATATATCTAATAGTTGAATATTCTCAATTGAACGATTGACTTTATTTACCTTTTCTGCACAGACTTATTCAAAAATTCTGCTCGCTCTTCTATCTAGGAATTGAAAGAGAAAACAAATCTTGTTAATATTTCAGCTTATAGACAGTGTTTCTCAGCTCATACCACTATCATTCCTGAAGCTGGTGAGTAAAAACACAAAGATTGTAGGAGGGTATTATGTTAGGGTACTGTGCATAGCAACTCTGTTAGAGAGAAAAACTATGAGTAAGGGAGTTGAAGGTAGGACTGGCAAAAGATAAAGTAGGTAGAGAAAGCTTTGGAGGCAAATTAAAACTAAGACAATAAACTGCCCCTGAAATAATATAAATCACTGGCAAATTAATGATGCCTATCTTAAAATCCAAACCCAAATGTGATGGCATTTGGAAGTGGTGCTTTTGGGAGGTAATTAGATCATAAAGGTGGAGTGCTCATGACTGCATTCATGCCCTGGTAAGAAGAGAAAGAGGGCTTGCTTACTCTCTCTATTCACTGCTACAGAACACAGCAAGAAGAGAACCATTTGTGAAGGAGGAAGAAAGCCCTTGCCAGAATTCAACAGTTCGGGCGTCCTGCTTTCAGACTCCCCAGTTTCCAAAAATGTTAGAAACAAATGTTTTCTTGTTCGTTTATCTGAGACAGCATCTCACTATGTAGCTCCACCTGGCCTTGAACTTATGATCTCTCTGCTTCAGCCTCTTGAGTACTGAGATTACAGGCAGGCACCATCATATCCAGTCAAATGTTTGTGGTTTTAAGTCACTCAGTCTACAGTGAGTTGTTGCATTAATTCAAACTGACTGAGACAAGAGGACATTCAACTGTTATCAGCCTAGGTTAGGTTACTATAGTTTAGTAGATCCTTGGACAAAGCAGAATATGGAAATTTTCAGCACATGTGTGCCTAAACACAGGCAGTCATGTACAAAGAGGGTTTTATTACCTGCTAATATTGATAGATGATGGATGGCAGAGGATATTTCTAGCCTAGAGTTAAGTAGCACATGGTGACAACAAATATTTGTTATTTATAAAGAAATCTGAATTTAAGTGATACAGTTTCAGTAAAATATAATGTTTGATTTAGTAGCTTTAGTAGTAGCAAAAAAAAAAAATCTCTAAAAAAGCATTCATAAGAACTACTGAACTTCCCAGTTACCATATGTAAGTCACCCTGTCCAAGGTATACTGTTATGGCCCTCTAGGTGACTAACAGTCAAGGTCCAAGACTTTAAGGAGCATACAAATTTAGTAGGGGAGACTAGAAGCATGCATAAATAAAATATTTAAAAATCAGTGGTAGGTGCCATATTAAAGATAAGAATAGAAACCCGGGTCTACAAGACAAGTAACTATCTAGAGGAAATGGAGAAGGCTTTTCAATAGTTTTGAGATTTGTAGTTTACAGTTTTACAAATGAGTTTATGAAAGCAAGAGTGGGAGTGCATGTGTTGGAGGGGAAAGGGCATTTTTAGCAAAGCAAACACATTACAGAGTGGGCAGGCAAAGTGGTGGAACTGAAGAAGAAAAATTCAGCATGGAGCAGAGGATGAGACTTGTTCTTCAAGGCACCTCCAGCATCTTTCTGATTTAGGGACCATCCTCACCTTGGCCATCATATTTGTTCAAATCATAGAGGCTCTTGGATTCCTACTTCTCCTTTTGTGTCTAGAACAGTCAATCAAGCTTGACTTCATCATCACATTTTGTCAGGACTTGCCATCCATTGGGCTGATACATTCTTGCGTTTTCTGCCTTACCTTAATGGCTCTCCCTAATAAAACAATTTGTGCTGAATTTGTAAATTAAATGTTCTGTGTAATGTTTAAGGAAATTGAGGAAGGATATTGGTTCCTCTGAAGACCGAAAGGTGGCAGTGTTGTCCCAATGAAATTCGGAAAACAAACACTATTAGAAAACTAGTAGTCTCTTTACTCCACACTCAACTTTCACACCAATATATGAAAACAACAATAATAAAAACCTTTAAGTTTAATTTCCTTAAAATCTACTCTGCATATGTTATGAAGGAAAAATTACTCACTGCTAACATAATTTAACAATGAGAAACCAGTTTCAGAGTTTCCCAAACAACAGAAGTCTTAAGAAATTAACAAAATACAGACTTTGGTAATATTTTGACATCAAAGATCAAATATTTTGTCCTCACTGTCATTATACAATAACTATATATTATAGTGATCATAATGAATGCTGCAGAGTATCAATAGCTTTTGGAATTCAATTGTAGAAGGAGTTGAGCTCAAAGCCCATCTAAAGCAACTTGTTCAAGGCACAATACCATGGAGACGAGTTCCTGAATGCATGTCACTGTAATGTAGAAATTAAAAATGTTTTAGTTCATTTTCTGTATTGACTTTGATTGTTCATATATACAGCTCCACCAGAGGCAGTTAATGAAAGGGCTTCCTCCCTAGGAAAGCTGGATGAAAAGAGTGTGATGGAAGGAAAAACCAGAGAAATGAGCAAGTTGAAAGATTTAGTAGAGAGGAGATAATTGAGGAAAAGAAGGCAGGAGAACCTCCAGTTTTCCTGAAAACAGGAGAATCTGGAAGTCTAGATGACTGATGTTTTCCTCATGTTCAAGGGAAAGCTCAGCTTGTGTGGGATTTTAAGGAAGGTAGAAAAGAGAACATGGCTTACTTTTGATTATTGTTAACTCAAGAACAAAAGACCTGGACTGAGAACAGGCTGGATTCTGGGTAGCTAGAAGTAGCCAGAACTGAGACAGTTTTTTGCCTTCCTATTATTCTTTTTTAGAGCAGGGGTCTTTCAGACCATGGTCCATTGGCTCACTGGGCCAAATGCAGCTCATGTTTTTCACACAGTCTCCAAGTTAAGCACAATTGTTTACATTGCTAAATGGATGGGAAAAAAATCAAAAGAAGAATGATATTTCATGATCTAAAAATTGTAAGAAATGCAAAGTTCAATATTCATGAATAAAGCTGACTTACTTCAGGAGGCCTCTGTCTATTCATTTTGCCCTGCTCTGGGGTCACATTGGTTTGCATTTGTACCCTTGTAATTTTTGAATTGTTTTTTGTGAGGCAATCAATTATATTAGTATCACAGGGCAGCAAGCTTGCTTTGTGCTTTTCTTCTTTCACAGTATACAATGTGCATCAAATATGAGAGAATAAAATTCCACTATGGCTTAGATTGCATTCTTCCAGAAGCAGACCTTAGATGAAGGTACAAGTACAAATACAGTTATGCATTTCTTAATGCAAGGATACATTCTGAAAACTGTGTCGTTAGGTGATTTTGTCATTGTGTAAACATCATGGAGTCCACTTACAAAAAATAAGACAGTATGACAAAGCTAGACAATATAGTCTTATGGGACCAACATTGTTCATGTAGTCTGTCATTGACCAAAATGTCATTATGCAGTGCACAACTGTACTTTATTTGGGAAGAGTCAGAAATGTGTCTGGGACTCAGACCACTCAGTCATTACTCAGTGAAGTTATTTGAGGCTAAAAGATTTTTATTTTCATGTGAAATAGGTAATAACGGTAAAATGTAAGTGACTAGCTTTTGGTCCTTTTTTTATGTCACATAAGAGGATCTCATACACACATGTACATATTTAATCATTGGAGCCTGGCTGTGATTTTGTTGGCTTTGTCCATTATTGATGCTTTGTCACCTAGCTAGGCTGAAGGAAAATGAGGATAGAATAAAAATGTTAAAAGTTCTCTGAAGATTCATTCATTCTTCCATTTACTCATATGACAAATATTTATTATCTTCAATATGTAAGGCATTATTTTAGGTGCTCAATTAAATATTACCCCTAAAGCAAAAGATACATTTGGATATAATGACAAACCGATTATAAATAACAGTACTTTCTTGAGTCTTCTGTTTTTCCCCTACATCTCAACCATTCTACCACCTCCCTGACTCAGCTGTTTCTTGCTTCTTCTCTTTCCTCTGGGCAAGGCTTCCTTCTCATATCAATTAGGAGTACTGTCCATGGAGGCAGTGGAGGACCAAACTCACCCTGGAAAAGGACCCTACTCAGGTCACATTTCAACTCCTCCCATGATAACAGCTTTGAAAGTTGAACCTGCAGCATTTAAGTTGCCCTGCTTTTAATGATAACAAAGCTAGCACGAAAAGTGACTTAACCCTTTATAACGTATTTGCCCATTTTATGAACTTTAAATGTTTCCATTTTTAAGTGCTTAAAGCAATGAGGCACATGGAACACATAGGTCAGTGAAACTTACAGCCATTCATCAAATGCCATTTGAATGTATAACAAAGTATTTAATAAACAACAGATACAATACCACACTTTCCACATACTGTAAACAAAAAAAGCCTATGAAATGGCTGAAAGAAGGGGCTGTGGTTTGAATATTTGTGTCATACGTTACCATCTAACCTCAGGGTGCTGGTTTTAAGAGGTGGGACCTTTGGGAGGTTCCTAGGTCATGAGGGTGGAGCAGCTCTTATGAAGGGGATTGGTGCCCTTATTAAAAAGGCCTCGGGGAGCTTGTGTGCTCCATTCTTTCCCCATTACACCATGTGAATTCCCAGTGAAAAAGTGGCATCTAAGAAGAACAGGCCCCTGCTAAACACTGAATCTGTTGGTGCTTTGATCTTAGACTTCTCATCTCGAACTGTGAGCAATAAATTTCTATTATTTACAAATTACCCAGCCTAAGGCATTTTGTTATAGCAGCCTAACATAGAATAGCCAAGAGATAAATGAAGCACAGGAAGGCCTTGAATAGCTAAAAATAGAGCTAAAATCAGGTTTCTAGTATAAGAGGAATTGCTATATGAAGGTTTTCTGGGGAGGGGAATACCTTGAGAGATGAACCTTTAGGAGTGAAACACTTGAATGGTTTCTTGTCATCTGACAAGCCATCTTCTGGCATCTTCTGGCGTTTCTCAGCAGCTTCTGCCCTTCGCCTTTCAATCTCTTCCTTTAGTCTCCTCTTCTCTTCCTGTGACAGAAAAAAACAACAAAAAAGGACGTCATAATCAGTTTCAAGGAGAGGGAGAATACTGCGGGAAAAAGAGTACGAGTCAGAAAGCAACAGACCCAGCACTGGACATCACCCCACCCTAAAGGGCAGCCAGAAGTTGTTGAGCCTGAGCACTGGTGTCTAGCTGCCTGCATTTGCCTTCTGGAGTGATACAAATTTTCCATTTGTATAACCTTGGCCATGTTATTTATCTGCTGTATGCTTCAGTTTTTTTCATTTGTAAAAGAGAGATAATCGTAGTACTCACTGAACAGGGCCTCTATGCTGAGCAAAGCAGAAAGCACGTGTAAAATGCTTGACCAATACTCAGTGTGAGATAACCATGACCTTCCTGTAAGCTAGTCAACACCGACCTTCCACATCTCGAATATGTACAATGAATGCAAACACCCTTCTGTCTACTGCCTAGAAGAGCTGTGACGATAAATGAGATAACTCATGCAAAAAAGATAGAAAAGCTATGGTAGTATATTTGCCAATTTGTATAAGAGATGATTTTGCCTCTCCCCTGTGTCAACTGATTACCTGATTTTAGATAGTGTGACAAACCTGAAATGACATTGCTATTGTACCATAGTGGCGAAGCCACAGAGTTACAAGAACTAAGTTACATGATATTGTTTTCTTAAATTTGCAGTCTTTGTAGAGAAGATTTTACAGGTTTTTTTTCTTTAAAGTAGATTAGAACGTAAACAGGCAGGGACACTATCTCCTTTGTTCACTACTGTATATCCAGGACCCACCTCAGTGCCTTTGTGCCACAAAAGCCTTGTCATTACGAACAGATGAATTTAATGTCTCTAAGCCTTCATTCCTGACCGAGAATACTCTGTTCTCAGAGCTCGGGGCTCTGGTCAAGTTGCCTTTCCTCTATGTCAGACATCACACTTTGGGATCATTATCACTGGCTATTCTCAAGCACAGACTGGTGTCCATCTGCTGGAAAAGTATCCGGTGCTAGGTAGAAGGTTTGACCAAATAATGCTCTAGGTGGGATTCAGTTCTAAGAATTCACAACTTCCCTCTGCTTTCCCGATATTCTCCTCTTTTATTTTTTGGTGGGACTGGGATTTAAACTCAGGGCTTCAAGCTTACAAAGCAGGTGCTCCACTACTTGAACCACACCTCTAGTCTATTTTGCTCTGGTTAGTTTGGAAATGTCTCAAAATATACTTGCCCAGGCTGGCCTTGAATCAAGATCCTCCTGATCTCAACCTCCCAAGTAGCTAGGATTATAGGTATGAACCCACCAGTGCTTGGCAATACTCTTCTCATTTAAATAACAGAATAATAATGATAACTTCTACTTTTTTGAGTACCTATAATGTGCTAGCTACTGTAAATACAATGATCCACAACGTAGATATAATTTCACAGATAAGGAAAACAAGACAGGGTAGTCCGGTAGCACTCCCCAAACCCCAGCTTGTAGGTGGCAGAGTTAGGATACAAGCCCAGGTATGTTTGTTTATAAAACTCTACCATTGCAATTTTTTTCCACTCACAGTCATTGGCTCATTGAAAGCTGGAGTTGGAAAAAACCTTGGAATAATTTATCTGGACTTTGCACATGGTTTAGGGGAAACGTGTATAGGATCCATGTCAGAAAGTCTTTGAAAATCTTTTTACATATTTTGAAGGATGGGAGATAACTATCTCAAATGCTCTAGGTTCCAAAAGCAAGGTCCCCATCCTGATCCTCTCACTTATCAGTCAAGAGTCTTCCAGCAAGTCACTCCAATGATTTGATTCCTCGTTTCTCTGCTTATAAAATGAGAACATATCCAGGACAAAAGGAAATAATGCACTTTGTAAACTGTAGCAATGTAAGTAGTAGCTGGTTAAGCCTTTTTTCTTCAAATGCTGAGCCAAAGTTTTCTTCCTTGTAACTTTATCTGTTGTTTGTAGTTCTGTCTTAAAGGATGGAACAAATTCATCTGTTCATAATGACAGGGCTCTTGGGGCATGCCCGGCACTTCACTGGGTCCTGAGTATAGGGCACGTAGGACCCTGCCTGTTTACATTCTAAACCACTTAAAAACAAACAAATGAAAAAACCTTCAAAATCATCTCTACAGAGACTCTTCAAACATTAGAAAACAGCTGTCATGTAACTTGGTTCTTGTAACTAGTTTGTAGCCCTTTCCTCCTTCTCAGTTTTCTTGCCTGTTCTTTATTGAGAAACAATATAGGGCAATGGGATACATCTCCATACCTCAGTTTTCTCATCTGTAAATTGGGGGGATATGTACCCACATGATAGAGTTCTTATGAGATCTGGATAAATTAACATGTTTCCAGGTTTTAGATCTGTGCTTAGTCCATAGTAAATTTATTATTCTTAAATACATTTTTAAGAGCCCATGCTTAGAAGAGAACATGCAGTGTGTGTGTGTAATTATCCTCTGGCTACAGGGGTCACCCGGCTGTGTACCATTTCTGGCTTGGGTGTACTCAGGAGTGTACACTACACCCTCCTACCTCCTCTCTGGCCTTGCGGTCAGCTTCCTCCTGCTTCTTCCTCTGCTCTTCCTCCTCCAGGACCTTCTTTCGTTCCTCCCTCTTTTTCTTCAGCTCCTCCAGCTCCAAGGCTGCCTCCTGCTGTTTTTGCTTGAGTTTCTCGAACTCTTCACTCTCGGTCTCTCCACGGCGGCGGCGCAGCTCCTCCAGCCGCTTGCCAGCCTCCACCTGTGGGGCACCCTCGGCCTCCTTGCCTCCCGGGCGGCTGGGGCTGCAGGGGAGGGAAGGAAAGGGGTTGACAGGAAGGAGGCGAATGTCTGTCTGCATTGCAGACACTGGATCTTTATGCAGATCCCAGTTATGGGGTCTGTCTGGAATTATAGACCTTAAGGAGGAGCCTTCTGCTCTGCCACTTACCCTTGATTTCCTCAGCTGCAAAATGACCCAAATATGCACTGTTGGTGGGATGGTAAAATGGTGCACCTGCTATGGGAAACAGTGTGGAGGTTCCTCGAAAGACTAAAAATAGAACTACTATGCATATGATAAGCAATCTCATCTGTTATGTAGGCAGAAGAATTGAATGTAGGGTCTTGAGATGATTTACACCACTATTCACATTATTCACAATAATCAAGAGGTGGAAATAACCAATAGTTCATTGTAGGATGAATGCACAAGCAAAATGTGTGGAATATTATTCAGCCTCCAAAAGGAAGGAAATTCTGACACGTGTCACTTTAGCATGTGAAGATATTATGCTAAGTGAAATAAAAGCCAGTTATAAAAAGATAGACACTACCTGATTCTACTTGTATGAGGAATCTGAAGTAATCAAATTAATAATAACAGAAAGTAGAATATTAGCTATGGGGGGGAGTGGAGGGAGAAGGAAAGAGGACTTGTTGCTTATTGGGTATAGAGTTTTAGTTTTGCAAGATGAAATAATTATGAAAATCCATTCCACAACATTGAGAATATACTCAACATTATTAAACTGTGCAAAATTTTTTTGAAACAGTGTCTCTCTATGGAGCTCAAGGTGGCCTCAAACTCATGATCCTCCTGCCTCAGCCTCCCAAGTGCTGGGATTACAGGTATGTACTACCAGGTCTGGCCCAGATGTACACTTAAAATGGTTAAGACAGTACATTTTATAGTATTTTTTAGTACAATTTAAAAATACATAACACATACTACATCATGGGAAAAATGGAGCATGTGCTATTTATTCTATTTACCTCAGTGGGCTACACTTTGGGTCTCATGAGACTATACAGTATTTAAATGTCAATTTACCATTATTAGAAGCAAAGGCATGCAATCCAAAACATTACTACAAGAATGAGTTCTAAAATTCAGGAGTGGCCTAAATCAGTTACCAGTGAACTTGGACCTGCCTGAAATTCTGGATCAGGAGAGAAGACTGAGAGGTTCAGGTACTGGAGACAGGAAAATGGTTGAATGAGGGATGGACACTGAAATAAATCCATCTATGCACAGTTTTGAACTTGACTCTAGCAGCTGAGGTGTGGCAAATCAAATTACCCATTGCCTACTATGTATGTATGTATGCATTTGTTTAATAATTTTTTTTTTGAGATACAATTTCACCAGGTAGCCCTGGCTGGCCTTGAACTCTTAATCTTCCACCAGTTCTAAAATTCAGGAGTGGCCTAAATCAGTTACCGGTGAACTTGGACCTGCCTGAAATTCTGGATCAGGAGAGAAGACTGAGAGGTTCAGGTACTGGAGACAGGAAAATGGTTGAATGAGGGATGGACACTGAAATAAATCCATCTATGCACAGTTTTGAACTTGACTCTAGCAGCTGAGGTGTGGCAAATCAAATTACCCATTGCCTACCTATGTATGTATGTATGCATTTGTTTAATAATTTTTTTTTTGAGATACAATTTCACCAGGTAGCCCTGGCTGGCCTTGAACTCTTAATCTTCCACCTCGGCTTTCTGGTGCTGAAGTTACAGGTGTGCCCCACCACACCCAGTGCCACTGCCTCTTCGTTGAGCGAAACCTAGTAAATATATGTCTATTCTTAGCAGAGATGCTCCCAGAAATTTCTTAATGACTTGTACATGATCCTGTGACTTCAAGTTGCATATTTCCCCCCCTTTTGAACTCCCAAACAACTGGAATATTCCTTATCAGGACCTACAATGACTAAATTAGCTCTGATACGGTGTGATGAGGTGATTACTCACATGTCATTCATTATGCTTTATAAACCCTTTTCATGTTTATCATCTCATTTAATAGTCATGATAACAAGAAGTTGGCAGGTTAGGCTTATTATCCCTATTTTATTAGCAAATGTGCCATAGATGAAAGAGAGAAAATAATTTGCTCAAACTTTTGGCTGTTAGGAAGTAGTTGAGCCCTGAGCAGATTCTAATGTTTCTCTATTAACTGTGCCTTTTTTTCACTATACCTTTCACTAGACACCTGAAGTTAAGTATGCTTTGTTATAAAATAATGAAATGACTGAAATACAGCATGTTAGCTCACCTTCCTACCTCTCACCCCAAACTTTGAGGGCAGCATCTGAGGGATGCTTCCTACTTTTAAGTTCCTAGAATTTCTACAGTTTAGGCCTAGCTACTTCCCATGTCTGAGTGGAAGAACGCTTTATCAGAAGCACGGCTTATAAAACAGGAAGAAAACAGATAAGGCTTTTTATAAATAGGAACTGAAATTGAAAGTATGTTGAATTTTCCTTTGCAACCAACCACAGAGATTTCATTGCAGAATTGGGAACATTAAAAATTAAAGACAGAGTGTTATCCTGAGTCCTTACATTAAACTTTTATTCCAGAACTGGGATTCTTAGGGTTTTGTATATATCCTGCAAAAAAGATGAAGTAGGTTGGACTTGGTGGCCTGCACCTGTAATCCCAGCTGCACATGTGGAGGGTTACCATCCGAGGCCAGCTCTGGGCAATACATGCCCCTATCTGAGAAAATAAATGAAAGCCAAAAGGGCGGTGGTATGGTATAGCTCAAGTGGTAGAATGCTTGCCCAACAAGCACAAGGTCCTGAGTTTAAATCCCAGAACTGAAAAAAAAAAAGAAAAATAGCGTTGGTATTCAAAGTAGAAATTTCACAGAACTCTGTTTTCACTAAAGAAGAATTCACATAAATTGTATCCTCCTGGGACTTTATTTAGGCGAAATTAGTGTTGTGCTTGAAGGAAGGTGTTACAGGTGGTCTTTAACTGAGAGAAAAGAATGTAGCGTGTCTTCTATTAAATACTTAATAATAATTATTAAGTACTTAATAACAAGTAGTTAACTGGATCTAAAATAGGTAGCTCATCCTCTGATGCCTTTGTCTGAGGAACAAGTGAACTACCACTGTGTAATATAATTTATTCTATGTGGAGAATGGCACAGTGTTTTAGCTATGGTATATGAGAATGAATAAAACAATGAATGGGTTCAAGAAATACATTATATAATATTGATCTTATTTTGTATGTCTTGTGCTTTTTAAACATTGAGGCAGTTTTGAATTACAGTGTCCTCTAGAGCAAAATTTTTTAAGCTGCATGTCAAAAAAATCAATTTAGTGGCTGTAATCAACATTTTCAAAAGGAAACTAGAAAACATTATAATGCATTGCATAAAGCAAAAGAAAGGACCATTTCTTGACCCATTGGGTTCAGTTATGTGTGTGTGTGTGTATTATTTTAGGTTCCTGGTGGTTAAAGGTACACTCTTTGGTGTTGCTAGGGTTTGAGCTCAAGGCCTTGAGCTTGCTAGACAGGTGCTCTCCCACTTGCACCAAACCTCCATCCCTAAAGATAAACCCTTATTTTGAGCTCAAAGAAGGTTAGAAGGTTTCTTAAAACATTACTTTGCTTTTTCAGATGTTACAGGCTCACAGCCTGTGATGTCTCTCTCGGTTCATTTAGGATCTTTCTATGTTCAGAAATGACTTTGCTTTCTCTCTGTTCAACATATTACTGTGCAGAAGTTGAACTTCTACAAGCAGGCATACCTTTAAAAACTTCTCTGGGTTCCACTAGGTGTCGCTCTGTCTTCATTTTGGACAATTAAAATGTCCATCATTAGGAACTAATTAAATAGGTTATATTACATCATCCAGTGGAATATAATAACATCATTAATTGTAGGCTTATATTTATTGGCACAGAAAACTAACTATTGTACATCGTTATTCATGATGCAAGAATCATTTACAAATATTTATTTAAAATTACATTCACCCATATACATACTGTATGTATATGTATATATATATGTCTTTCTTGGGTGTTACATGCACAGAAAATATATGGAAAAAAAGGAAAAATCCATTAACTCTCACCTGAAAAAATTAAAACAAAATTCTATCAAAATAGGAGCAAGACTTTAGCCTTATTACTTCGGCTTATATATGCTGGCAGGCTCTCAGCCTTTGGGTAGCACTTACACGAAAATTTCTAACATAAAGTTCTCTCTCCTAACCTTGGATCCTTCAGATTTAAATCAAGATGGACATTAGGCCTTTGACCATTAACAGAGCTTGCTTCCAGTTAAGCTAGTAGGTACTCAAACTTATCTACCTACAAGTTCCATCTTCCTCACTTCTTATTTTACAAGAATATGGAGCAAAACTATGCTTCTCTGCTTCTATCAGCATCAACTCTAGCTGAAACTAAACCTCACAGGTGTTGGCAGCTAAACGAAAATGATTAATACAGTGGTAACTGTTGCTGTGGGTTTTTTTTTTCTGCCCAAAGATGGAAAAATTAGGGCAAAAGTCCCATTTAAGGTTCTCAGCTCAATTTTTTTCTCTCTGAATTACCCAGCTCTTTGGATTGCCACACAATGGGCATGCTAATTATTAATCTGAGCTTTGACTGCAGCTCCTTGGCAAGTTTGCTAATAGTTATTACCCAAACTTTTTTCCTAATGACAGATTTTTTTTTAAAGAAAACCATTGTTTCTCTGAACAAAATTAAACTTGTTCCTTAAAACTTTATACCTTCAAAATATATTTTAAACTATCAAGTAATAAAACCATATTGATATTAGGTAGCATTCACTGAAAACTTTTAATAAACTTGACAGTAGTGTAGGGCTTTAAAACATTTAACATTTAAACATTTCAGCCAGCTTTGTACTTAGCTTTCCAGCCTGAATCAACTTGCTTGGTAGATTTTCTATGAATTTCCAATACTTTTTTAATGTTCACATCTAATCTCTTGTCAATTCCAAGTGACATCTGTGGATTTTACTTTTTTACTCCTTCATAGCTGTATATAAGTCTTTTATTCATATTTTTCTTCTGTGTGCTTTAACATCAGAAATGTGACAATCTTTCTGTTCAGATTTTTTTGTAGAAAATTTATTTTGGGGCAACTGTATTATGGTTATAGTTTTCCCATATTAGGTTTTTAAATGAGTCTGAAACATCTATCTCTTTTGACTTCACTTGCTTCTGAATGTTACAAAGGCTTTGCGTGTGGGGATGGGGTCCAGAGAATTGTGTAAAATGCAGTCCATGACAGGATTCTGCACTTTGAATCCTTCTACAAAATTGATGGGGAGCTCCTACTAGTCAACTGTATCTAGAAGAGAGGATTTATCTGCATATACAGATCTCGCCTATCCTATATTAATTGCCTGGATTTTCAATGTGATAAGGGAGGGGATGTGAGGAAGGGGAAACTGAAACTATGTAAGAGTTTTCCAAACTGTCTGAAATGGGGCACTAGTTCCACTTCTTCTGCCTCCCTCTCAGAGATTCCTAAACAAACTAACATTGGGGGGGAGTCTCAAAGTCCTTATAGTAAAGAGACATGACTTAGCTTAACCCAAGTTTTTGGCAATAGAATAATCTGAGCTTTATTTATTTTTTAATTTTAATTTTTTTATTATAACATTTTTTACTAGTATATATTTGTTATATGGTGGTGACTCATAGTGACAGTTCCTATTAGGCTTACATTGTACATTGGTTAGATCACCCCATCATTTTTCCTCCTCAATCCCCTCACCACCCCACTTAAAGCAATTGCAAGAGGTGTTTTATTCTATTTCATATAAGTATATGAAGTCCATCAATCATATACCGTCACCTTGATCTCCTTCATTCACCCTCCCCACTCCTACTAGGACCCCCCCACCACACACTGTACCTATTTTACAGTCCTGTCTTTCATTATTAATATTTAAGTTGGTGTTCAAAGAGGGTGTGGGTATATTTTATTTTGGTCTGTTTAACCCCTCCCATTACTCTCCCTTACCCCTTTATTTTGAGGTACTGGGGTTTGAACTTAGGGCCTCATGCTTGCTAGGCAGGTGCTCTAACACTTGCGTTACACCCCTAGACCTTTTTTGGTTTAATTATTTTTTAGATAGGGTCTCGTGGTTTTGACCAGGGCTGGCCTTGGACCTTGATCTCCCTACTTGTACCTCTGAAGTAGGTGATATTATAGGAATGTGCCACCGTGCCTTGTCCCCTTAATCTGAGCTTTATGCAACATTTATTTACAATCTTTGGAAAACAAATTCTTGAAAATGGTATTGAGAAAGGACTTTTATGAAGTTGGCCTGACCAGATAGAGAATGAACCAATGGTATTAACCTCAATATACTGTAAGTAAACTGATCTCACATAAGCATACTGGGTTAGCCAACAAGCACATGGATGCCAAGCACCCAAACAAAAAACCAAAACAAAACAACATCAGAAATCAGATTAAGCCCGGTTGAGCAATGACTGCTGAATTGCTGGTCTCCTGTTAGTGATGTGAGAGCTGGATCTGCTGACTGTGTATCTCTAAGACAATGCCAGTGACCTTGCAACAAAAGAATGTTGCCTGGTTAGCAGGTTTTCCTGTGGAGGCACAGGGTAGGGAAACTGATTTTTTTCCCTCCACATATGAACACAGTCACTGTTAACTAGCCACCACTTCTTACCTGAAAGCGTTCTCAGCATGTTTAAGTTTGTGGGTCATGAGTTCTCCATTCTGTGACTTCACTTCTGCAAATCCCTTCTTTCGATCCAAAAAGCTCTTAACTTCTTCTTTGGGTTCCTTGTCCTTTTTAATCTTCTCATCTTTGATCTAACCAATAACATATATCAGGAAGAAAAATAATCATATAAATCTTACTAGGTTTTGGCTGGTATTACCAATAAGACCCCAAATTTTTAGTAAGTCATAAAACTCAGAGTAACCACCTGGAAATGATGTGGTAGATTTGGCTGGGGGCGGGGGGGTCAAGGGAAATTTTAGAAAGCAAGCTGTGGTCCTTTAGCCTGTGAGCAAAGACCTCAACTATAACTTTAGGAAGTCAAGATCATCCCTGATCTCACTATTACATTTTGGGAACTCTACCAGTTCTGGAAACTTTGCAGTTCCTACTGAGAAGACAAATCATTAGTGTGGCATTGATAGAAGAATATCCAGGTATCTTAGCCAGGTTTCTTTTTTTTGGTGAACAGTGAATATCTGATAAGAACCAAATGTGGAGAAAAGAAGAGAAAACCTACCAGGTCAGCCATATCTGCAAAGAATCTGCAATTCTGGAGATTACCCTTGTATTTAATCATATGAGTAACTGGGTTTCAAAGATGGAGCATGTAACAACCTACCTTTAGGGGGAGGACATGTTAGCATTCCTCTAAACTTCTGAAGTTAGAATGGAATAGAAACAATCACAAAGCACTTGTTCTTTACAGAAACCTACAGAGGAAGGGATGGCCATAGACTCCGGGCTTCCAATAATGACCTGACTTCCCCATATTTGGAGCACTCACTGCTCCCCAACTATTATCCAACACCCTCTGAATATTTGCTCCTAAAGGGCATGTTTTACAAAGCAGACTACATTTATTTTGCCTTTCTTGATGTGCCTTTAACAATCTTTTGGCTAATTAATTTTTTGGGGTGTTATTTATTAAATTACTATGGGTGGACGATTCACTATGATGTTGGCCTAATTAGTTAAGACTAAACTTTCTCCAAGAGGGATATACCTAGCACCTCTCTTGGCAATGCTGAAGAGGGCATCTGATGTGTGCCATTCTCTTTGGGAAATTTGTCTGCTAGTCAAGAGAACTGAGTTTTAGTTCAAAGGTTGTCAACAAATCAGTTGTGTTACTTGAGCCAATCACTTAGCTTCTCTGGGATGCTGGCTCCAAGTATTTGAAAGACGGGGTTGAAAAAACGATCCCTTCTTAATCTTCATCTTGTCATTTCCCTATTGGCTTCTGATTGGTCATGAGGTTACATCAGAGAAGGAAGCTCAGAGCCTATACTACAGCTCAACTGTGGCTGCTCAGTGGCTTCCTTACCCAGGAATAAGTCAGTATTTACTGGACAGAGAGAAGGAGGCAGAGAACATTCTCATGTTGGCCTACCATTGTTGGATATAGCCCCAGAAACCATGGGCTAGAGTTTTCACCCTGGTTGAGAAATATCTGGGGACACAAATTTTGAGCTAAAGGATGCCAGTTTCAGGGTATACCATGAAATAAATTCTAAGTCAAGTCTCATGGTCTGTGGTGCTCTATGCATGGAGAAATTCTTTTTAACTCATTTCTCCTATTCTGCAGTCAAAAATATTTCCAGTCTCCCAAAATGTGTTGATTTACTGGCCAAAGTACTTAAAATTGATTGGTAAAAGAATAGATATATATAACAGAAGAAAAAAGTCTCTCCTCTTTTTTCCCCTAAGCTCTGCCTTTATTGCCAAAGGTTATATTGGATAGTATACTTACAACCTCTTTGGAAAACTTTCTGAAAAACATGCTCAACGTACTAATGGTCATTTGAGTTTAGCTGATCATTATTTTCTCATGCTGGGAAATGAAGGAAATAACTTCACAGAGCTTTTAAATTTTATTTTAAGGAAACCAGTGAATTGGGTTCTATGTCAAGTTCAGCTTGAGCCCATGGGATTCTGAACTTTTTGGAAAAAGAATTAGATCTTTGAGGTTGGAATGTTACCCTAAAAAAAATAAATCTATGTTGAAGGAATTCCTAGGTAGCCATGTGTCCGGAAAGGATAAACGTGTTTCATTCACAGATAACAGTATACTCTTAAGAAGGGCTGTGGCTAAGTGTGATCATTTGGATAAAACTCTGAAAATTTGAGATATCCAGTGAGATAAAACATGGGTGTCTGGGGTGTGGAAATTTATGTGGCATGCCCTTGTGCCAGCGAGATACTCAAAAGGTCAAGGGGAAAGCCGGGAATGGTGGTGATGCCAGTGCTCAGAGGCTGAGGCAGGAGGATCAAAAATCCAAAAACAAAACAAAACAACAACAAAACAAAATACCAGGAGCAAGTGGAAAAGGACTGAGATGTGAGTTTCTATAATGTACTGCTTTGCATGATACAATTCTGGAATAGTGATAAGATCTGGGCTCAAGTTACAGTTTTTAAGACCAGGTTTAACATGACTTTGTTAACTCTAGAACCCTTAAGTTCTTTACTGGCTCTCTTTCCTATCACATGGATGTCTTCTAGATTCCTTGCTGCTGTAAGTTTTGGTCCATGGACAACACAGACCTCACCAGGTAGCTTAGAGTACCCTAGAACCACTGAATCAATTCTGCATTTAACCAGATTCCTGAGCACTCATCTGCACACATTTGGGAAGTGTGGGCCTAGAAAACATGAACAACAAGTTCAATATTGTGTAGGCAACTCTGCTAGAAACTTTGTATGCCAGTTAGAGGACAGGGGAAATAAAAAAAGATCCAGGGTAAAGAACTAAAAAGAGGGTCTTTACAAATGAAAAAGGAGAGAAAAGAAGCTAAATTAAGTCTCAAAGTTGGTGATTATCACACCCCATCAGCACCACAAACAATTCAACTGCAGTGGAGAAAGTGAGGAAATTTTGTTTGTTTGCTTTTTGGGGAATGATTTCTTTGACAAGGCTCAAGTGATGTTTGTGTTTACTCACGGTTGACCTATGCTGCTTATGCTACACAGATCCTTACAAGAAGAGGTTTTTGTTTGCTTTCTGTGACTTTTTTTAAGCTAAAAGAGGTTATCTAAAATGGCTGAATCATGCAAAATGATTTAAAGCTGTCTACATAAAGCAACAACACAACTAGCTAGAAAAGGGGAAAGGGGTAGTGATTCAGTCGGCAGTTAAAACAAAGAGGTTTTTTTTAAACCTAGGTCAAGTTGCTTATCTAGCCTTACGTAAAAAAGAGGCCAGAAGTTTTGAGACACTGGAATGTGCTGTGGGGCACACCTGGAAAGAGGTGGGCCTGAAACTATCCATTCCCCGGAATATTTTACTGAGATTGTGGACATTGCTGAACTGGGACCTTATCTGAAAAGGGGTATAAAGATGAGTTGGGTGACCACTGAGGAGTCCTTTGTACCTCAGAGACACCCTCCATAGACATAGGCATAGAATGCTTTAGTCATTAAAAACAAATCACACCATAGTGAATTGAATTAAATTTTACTTCTAGAATCCAAGTGGTATTTTCTACAGCCTCCCTTCCTGTATGTGTTTAATCACTGAGTTGGGATTTCCAGCGGTAGTTAAAGATATTCACCATAAAGCACTGGCTCTGTGGAAGAACCCATGAAGCATTTCTATTTGAGTTTAGTAGATGAGTTTGTAGGTATTTTTTTGTCACAAAATGAAAAGTGATTCCCAGTATGTTCAACTCTTTCCTTTAGCTGCCTCATTCAAGCTAAACTCGGTTTTCTAGTTATTGGCGTTTATATTTTCTCCCTCCTCTAAATGAAAAATGCTCACATTCAATCACTCCCAAACCACCACAAGTTCTAGTAGAATAGAAAGAAATGTAAATCAGAAAATAAATATAATATGTGACATGAACCAGAAGTTCTTATTTCTTTTATGAACCTTACAAAAACATTTAAGAAAATAATCATCCCCTATTTAATCTGATCATCTATTTTCTAACTATGGATTTTTCTGTTTTAAAATTTTTGAGTTTTGTTAATAATGCTGTAATAGGCAGAAAATGTAGGAAGGTCTATTTGGGTCAGCACTTAATGGCTACAAATCACTTTATAGTCTCATAGACAAAGTAATTCAAGTCCTCCGACCTCTGATGATTCAGTTTTATTGTGATTGAGTACTTTGAACTTACTAAATGTAGTCACAACTTATAGGATTATTTGGACTAGCATTAGCGGGATGGTTAGAATGAACTGAGACTTTCTGCTGTGGCATTTTGGTAATGCTGGAATGCTAGCACATCCTATGGGCAGCAGCCTTGTTTACTTACCTATAGTCAAAACCCTGGCACCTGTTCCTGTGTGTGCCTCAGAAATGCAATGCAGAACATTTTGCCAAACTGTTCTTTTGAAAACTGAGTATCATCTTCAATTCACCCAATTTCTACTGAGATGTGGGAGAGGATATGTTTTTCCTTTGAAGAATTAAAGAATCAGTCAAGGCCAGTTGGAAATATTTCATGATTGAGATGCAAACAGAAGGGTTCAAGGAAATAAAATTAGTACTCAGACGAGCAGAAAGCAGGACAGATTGATGGAAGCAGGGCTTTTTAAGCTTCTGACAACTGAACCATAGTAGAAAAGACAATTTATATGACAATGCAATACTTAATACCCACAATGCCCTTTGATTTTTCTCTATTCCATTTCATTTTTTAGAATGAAGAATAACTACTTTTGCAATACTCTTGCCGTTCAATGGATCACGAGTCATGGCTTGAAAAGCACTGGGTTAGAGGTTACGATTCTAACAACTGTCAGACTTCAGATGTCCTGGAACACTGCTCTACGCTGTTCTTATGATTAGATTATTCGCCAGTAACATTTACCTCTTTTTTGAAGGTAGGCTTGTCTTCTTGGGGCTTTTGTCTTTGAGCTTGCCCTTTAGCTCCCTTTTCTTCTTCCTTTTCATTTTCAAGAATGGTGAAGGTCACTCATGTAAAAGAAGCCCTTTCTAGCTTGCAAGAGTGAGAAGGTGCTCAGATCACTCCACACGTGTCATGGATGACTTCACTTTGGCAATCTTAGCGCCATACTTACAGCTCTGGGTGCCCGTTATTCTATTCAGCCACGCGGGATCTTTCCTTCCTACCCCCCATTTTTCTCATGTGCCTCCTCCTTGAAATCTAGCAAGACATGGTGCTCCTTGTGTGTGTTTACAACCCCGTGTGTGCCTTGGTGCACCTGGTTTGTGATCTTCTCAACTACAGGTGTGTGGATGAGCTCCTTGTACAGAAGCAGGAGTGAAGGACAAGTTCAGCACAATGCAAGCTTAGTGACAGAGTTTGCTTTGGAAAGGTGAACATGCAGCATCTCTTTTCTCTTTATTTTTGCAGGGGGGGATATAGTGGCATAAGTACAGGGGTTCCAATGTAGCCTTGCAGACAGAAAAAAAACTGTAATTTATAAATATTTCCACCCCTTCCCCACTATTCCCATCCTTCCTCAGGCAAAATGAATTTGTGTCACCCAGATGGTAAAAGGAGCAAAATACAGGGTTTAATTACCCATCAATTATGAGCTGATACGACCCCCGATGAATGACTTTCTGCAAGTCTACATTAAACTCAGGTCTACATGATGGCAAATTACAGTTTTGAGATTTTTTAAAAATGAAATTTCCAATTGGCTCCTTTCCCTCCTTTATTTCCAGTTGATTCCCAGGGATTTTTTTTTTTTTTGTCTTTTTAGGACGAAATGTCTGAGCATAACTCTATGTCAATTTCCCACCTCCACTTTTATAATTTTTAAATTTATTAACAAACACACGGGTGAGGACAGAAGTTAAGGGCCTTTTGCCTCATGTAGATTTACACATAGAGGAAAGAGGTCAAAAAGAAAGAGTTCAGATGCAGATGCAGAAACAAGTCAACTCCACACCACCACACTGATCATCTTTGGGTTAATTCATTTTTTTAGGTTATTTATAACAATGCAGCACAGAGCAATTAATTTCTCTCGATGGTGCCAATAAACATGGTTGATTGCATATCTAGCCATCAATTGATTGCTTTATGCTTGCATATTGTTATGCCTGAAAAAATGAATAGATTGCCAAAATGATCAGGCACGTGGGGCTATATGCACGTGGCCTGTCTTCAGTTTGATGTGCATTACATTTCTCAAAAGTCACAGGCATCACACATTTGGTGCAAAATGCTTACTGTACCTGTTTCTTTAGAGCAGCTGTCTGAAGTTTATCTTCTTGCACTTTCTTTTCATTTACCCATTTCCCTTGTCTTTTTTCTTCTACCTTCTCCCCTTTTAGCTTTGTCTCTTGTATTTCATTCTTTTTTTCCTCTAGCTGCTTTTTCCGTTTTTGCTCTTCTATCCTTGCCTTTTCTTCCTCCTCTGCCTTGGCCTTCTGTCTCTCCTCGGCTGCCCTTCTCTCTTCTTCCTCAATCTTTGCCCTCTCCTCTGCCTCCCTCCTTTCCCTTTCTTGTGCAGCTGCTTTTTCTTCTGCTTCAATTCTTGCCTGCTCCTCTGCTATCTTTTTGTCTTGCTCAGCTTTAATTCTTTCTCTTTCTGCTTCTTCCAACCTCAACCTCTCTGCCTCAGCTCTTTCCCTTTCTTCCTCTTCCATCTTTTCCTTATGAGAAATCTCCTCTGAGCCTGGTTCCCTCTCTTCCTCTGGTTTAGGCTCTTCTGCACTGATCTGCCCATTTTTCAATGCTGTTACCACTGTTTCCTCCTGGGTTTCTGTTGTTTTTTCTTCTACCATTGCCTCTACCTGATTTTCTCCAGTGCTCCCTTGCTTTGGCTTCTCTTCTTCCTCTTCCTCCTTCTCTTCTTTCTTTTTGTCTTCAGCATCCCTCCAGTCATTCTTCTGGTAGGACTTGGTGACTATTTCTGTTTCCTCTATCTCATATCGTTCTTGGCGACTCTCTATTTTTTCCTCTTTTTCTGCAGTGTCATTTTCTGCTGTATCATTTTGCATTTTTCTGGTTGGGGGTAGCAGACTGGTGTCTGTTATTGTTGGGTCAAACTCCTTCTGGCGCTCCAGGGCTTCTTGAAGACGTTTTTGGCGTCTCTCTTCTCTCCGAGCCAGGCGCTCCAGTAATGCAGCCTCATCATCACCTTCCACCTGAGTGTTTGTGGTGGTTGGCTTGGCCTCCTCGTCAGGGACACTGTACAACAGAAGGAACAACACCAAGGACCACTTGCTGGTTAATCAGTCAGTCACATTCATTTGGCCACCTAGACTACAGCACATGGCATTTGTACTCAGCCCATAGGTCTGTGAATGTTACCATTTAAAGACATGCCTGCCTGGCTTTTAACTGACAGCATATGTAAATCTTTGCCCTTGGTCTTTCTCTGGCCACTGGAACTTTCTCAAGATGTTGTTAAGTGTTTTGCCCTCAAATAAAAGTTGATGAGCTTCAGTGTATAACTATCTCAGCTTTCCTCCTCTTTTAAGTTGGATAATTCTGAGGTGCATGTTCCACACATGCACTCTAGGAGGGCTCTTAGAGGCCCTCAGTGGAGTTTTGCTTCAGATGCCCAAGGTGGTCAATTGGTTGGTCATGCAACTTTTATTTGGTTGCCTTCCCTTTTGTGTTTCATGTTCCTAGGCCCCTACCAGTGTTTCCTGGCAACTGCTTACTTGTACTCAAATCTTTGTTTCATAATCTGCTTCATGAGGAGCTCAAAATAAACAAGGACCAAATCAGAATAAAAAGTGAATTCTTGTAATGTCCTATAGCATTCTAACAAGTTACCAAGTCATATAGGATTCCTGATCTGGATTGATGGGACCTGAGGCACTTTGAGAGGAAGGGTGTGGTAATCACACACTCGTGCCAATGATTCCCATAGGATAGACAGTTAAATGTCCTCCAAAATTCATGCTACTCCTTCCTTAGTCCTGGGGGGGGTGATTGCCAATCAAGAATTATATTTCCTACTTTCTCCCCTTTCTTTCACCCAGGCAGGGTCACATGACCAATAATTGCCAATGAAATGTGAGCCAAAGTGATTTTAAACCAAGGCAGTTTAGAAGCAGAGGAGCATTTTCTGACTTCTATATCTTTATCTGTTGCAAATCCCTAAGTAAAGCTTGACAGAGTCACAGAGGAAAGAAGATAGGTGACTGATTCTGCCTACTAGACAGAAATACCCACACTGAACTGGTATGAGTTACTGTATTAAACTACTAAAATTTGAGGACTCATTATTATAGCAGCAATAAGACCATAGCTAATACAATCTACCTCCTTTGTCAAGATTTTCATGAATCACAGGCTCCTTGTCCTTTACCACAGTGGATAACTGACAGTTGAATTTAATGTTTACAAAAGAAAAGAAAATATCTAAAGACCAAACTGTACTGTGTCTATCATCTCACTCACTCTTGCGGGAGGCCGGACACTACCCACACCAGGGGTGTTGGTCTCCGCTGTCAGGGAAACAGCCAGTCATGTGATACTAGAACTGTGACCAGAGTTGGAAAACATATGTCTTGCAACATTTAGAAACGCCATCAAATTTCATGGTTCATACCAAACTTGGCCCTTCTAAGGTTCAAGTTCGCTTAGTTTTGGAAAAACACATTTTCATATTTAATAACAAAATATGGAAGAATAAAGCCTAGATTTTAAACCTTCTTGGCTTTTGTTGTTGCTACAAGACACTGTCTCCATGAATTAGTCATATAAGGATTACATATTCATGAAAATACAAAGAATTTGGAATTCAATGGGAAGAGTCTGTATATAAGGTATTTGAACAACTGACCTCTAATAATTTTTAAAAGGTATCCAAAATTCCAAAGCGCTAGCCAGACTAAAATACTGTTAAGACACCAACAGACTCTACTGAACCTTTCTTTGCCTTCTCATAAATCATGACAACAATCATCAGCAGATGCTAAGTGCCAGTTGGAGCTATTTAGCTCCAAGAAGACTTATTCTTGTAGTTAATTCATATATCAGGGATAAATCACATGTTCTCAGACTTGAATATGCTTTCCTTATAAAAAACAAATTTTGAATTAAATCAACATCATGATACACATCAGACAAAGGACTGATAACCAGAATACATAGGGAACTCAACATCATGAAATAACTAATAATGATAAAATGTGAAAGCAGAAGAGAAACACAAGTAGAAGCAAAATTTTATGTAGGTAGGTGTTGTTTTGTTAGGAGGAGGTAGTACTGGGGATTGAACCGAGGGCCTCCCACATGCTAGGCATGTGTTCTACCACTGAGCTATATACTCCTAGCCCAGGAGCAAGATTTTAAAAGCAGAAAACTATAGAGCTGTAGTAAATTTTTAAGCCACTGTTGAGTCACTCACTAAATAACTAGACTCTGGAAATGCCTCAAAATGTTATTTTTAAAACTCTCTCTGTCCCTCCTCCCTCAACTCAAAAATAGGAAAGGTAGTGAATGACTATTCTATCTTTCTTCTACAGGACTCCAGTGACAGTGAAATTTATTGCATGCTTACAATATGCAAGGCACTGTGTATTTTACATGTACTATTATTTCATCAAGGTTTAACAATACTCCTAGGAGACAAGTATAATTTTTACTCCATTTAGGTGAAGAAACACAGTTAATAAAAGGACAAGTTGGACCTTTTTGAAGCCAGTTTGTGAACTCTAGAGATCATACCTGTACCCCCTTTGCTATACTTCCTCCCTAATTAAGAGCTACTTACCTTATTGTCTTGCCCACAAGCATTTGCAAGACCACCATACAAATCTGATGCAGCCACTCAAGTTTGAGGCAAAGTGGCTATGACCCTCTCCCTTCAAAATTTTCTAAATTGAGTAAATTAAAGGAACTATCAACAGCCCCTCCAAATAGTCACAAAATAAAACAACCCAATGCTAAAAACACATCAAGATCTTACAATGTAATTTCATTGCATTTAATCAGCCCATAGTTCAAATTAAAATTATTTTTTCCCATCTCCCCAAATGTCCTTATCTCTTCTAAACCTTGGGGCATGTAAACGACATATAATAACTATTGTAACTATTATCACAATGAACTTTGTGACACTATTTCTGTTGCAAAAGACCTATTTGAAGAAGTTGAACCTATTCGGTATTCTTAATGTCTCTGATTTTTCACCAGGGCCTTAGTGGAAAAAAATGTAGTAGTAAATTTATTAAATGAGTTTGAATAATCATACTAAATTAAATAGGCTCCTGCATCTTTTTTCTTTTTTGGTGGTCTTGGGGTTTTAACGCAGGGCCTTGTGCTTGCTAGGCAGGTACTTTACCACTTGAGCTACACCCCCAGCCCTGAATTCTGTATATTGCTGAATACTACAGTGATCAGAGAATATTGATTCAAGCTGTACATTAAGAAAAAGAAGACATTTACAGTTTCCACCTACTTTTAATGTGTAAGTGTTAATTGTGTGTCCATGACTCAATTAAACGAATAAATCTTCAGTTCAAAACAGATTGCAGTATCTTGTAAAAGGAATGTAATGAGTTTTTCTTAAAGCTATAACCCACCACATGTAGTAAATTAAAAGCTATCAGGTTATAAAATGAAATAAAAAGCCTTCACTTGGGGGTTTATTTAGGGGCGGGAGTGGTGTATATAAAGGGTCCTAATGTCTACATCAGATTGTTCAATTTGATTTGTTGCCAAAAATGGCCCCAAAATAAACAAAATAGATTGAAAATGACCAAGCGGGCTGAGAAGGGAATTCTTCGTTTGGCAAAGTCCATCCAACAGACAAGCTAAGACACACCAGAGAGATTCTCCATTGCAAAGAGGCCAGTACCTGTTCTGGGCGTTAACCTCCACCTGGTCAGTCACCTGCCCCAAGGCTTCTTCCTCTTGCTTCTGCCGCAGCCTTTCCTGTCGGGCCCTGCGGCGCCGTTCCCGGGCCGCCTCTTCTTCATCATCATCGTTCCTCTGGTAGGCGATTCTAGAACATTGCAAAGATGACCTCATTACAAAGACAACCTCCCAGCTGCCAACTGTTTTCGCCACCTTATTGGCAGGAGCAGTCCTGAACTTGACCACCCGTGAACCCAGTGAACCAGAGCGTTCTAAAGGAATGGTTCAGCAACTTGGGTGTAGAGAACCAAGTGACTGATTTTCAAGCTTGTGAATATTTGAAAAGCATCAAGCCAATAACTGCACACGATAATTTACAATGATCAAATAAGGTAAAAAATCTGCCTTCTGAGACTGTAGGTCAGCATATTTAGATTTATCTATTTTCTATTTTAATTAATTAATTACTTTATTTTTACAATTTTTGTTATCGTATTGTACTGGAGGTACATTTTGACATTTAAAAAAGTTCTTACACACCTAAAAAACTAGCTAGCATTTGTTGCCCTTAATGCAGAGAAACTAAAGCAGATACCTTAAAGCAACTGAGGCCAATAGGAAAAGGGGAACAGGAACTAGAGAAAAGGTTAGATCAAAAAGAATTAACCTAGAAGGTAACACCCACGCAGGAAATCATGTGAGTCAACTCCCTGTATAGCTATCCTTATCTCAACCAGCAAAAACCCTTGTTCCTTCCTATTATTGCTTATACCCTCTCTACAACAAAATTAGAAATAAGGGCAAAATAGTTTCTGCTGGGTATTGAGGGGGGGGAGAAGGAGGGGGCAGAGTGGGTGGTAAGGGAGGGGGTGGGGGCAGTGGGGAGAAATGAACCAATCCTTGTATGCACATATGAATAATAAAAGAAAAATGAAAAAAAAAAAGAAAAAAGTTCTTACAATGTATCATAGTTGAATTCACTATCCCCTATCATTCTTGTTTATCTTTCTTACTCCCAGTCCTGGAATAGTTTCAATAGGTTTCCTTTTTCCTTTTTCATACATGAGTATATAGTATTTTTCCACCACATTCACCCTTCTACGCCCTCCTTCTTGATTTCTTTATTATGTTGATTATCACATGTAAAACTTAGTAGCAAAAAACCAAAGTTTTGAACCAAATAATCAAGATACATCTGGGCATGATGGTGCACACCAGTAATCCTAGCATTTGGGAGGTTGAGGCAGAGGACTGCAAGTTTGAGGCCAGCCTGGGCTACAGAGTGAGTTCAACACCAGTCTTGGATCAAAAAAAAAAAAAAATCAAAACACCTATTAAAAATATTCAGTTTATTGTGTGAGTTTTTTTGTGGAGACACTGTCACAGATATTAGAAAAGAATCAAGTTACACTCAAGACAATATTTTGGTATTAATAAGCCAGGGTTGTTCATTAAAAAAAGAGCAGGGTAATTCTCTCTGGTTGGATTGCTTTCTCCTTTCAGTTCCTTTTTCCTGGAGAGAGGAGGTGTTAATTACAATAGGTAGGAGAGTTCAAAGTCAGTGCATTTTGAAGGGGTGGCAAGCTCCTTGGAAGGACCTAAGGCGTGCTTTACCATCCCCCCACGGAGCATAGTAGCCCACAATGCATGTTTAGATAGAAGCCTTAAGGCTGAGGCAGGTAGAAGAGTCACAGAGGCCTTCACACGTGTCTACCTTATTTAGCTTTTAGAGTTTCATCTGAAGCAATTGCCTGCTGGAGGAAATTATACAAGCCAGATTACTTTGCTAGATAATATCCCCTAATATTTATTCCCAAATAAAGAACTGGAGCTATGGAACTACACATGCCCAAAGTCAAGAGGAAATGATCTGCGTGGTGAACTTGGCTGCTTCTGAAGGTATTTTGAGTATTAAGGTACAGAATGCCAACAACTCATGGGTAGCAGTGGTTTGACTGGTCCATAGGGTGAGGAGAGGATGGGGATGAGGCTGAACTGCAGTGGGATGCAGTGTTTTTATTAAGCTTGCGTGCAGCTCACAGCTGTAGTTCCAGTACTTGGGAGGCTAAGGCAGAAAGATCATGAACTCAAGGCCAGCCTGGGTTACATAGTGAGTCCCTAAAAGTAAAATACAAAAAACCCTCCAACACTTTATTTTTAAAGTGTCTTTAGTATAATGTTATTTACATACCTACAAATAGAAATCCAGATATGATGTAAACATTTCATGTTAATATTCTTTTTTTGTGATAAGGACACTTAACACGAGCTCTACTCTCTCAATAAATTTTTAAGTATATAATTCAGTATTGTTAACAATAGGCACAAAGTTGTATGCCAGAGCTCTAGAATATGTTTACAATTCTTACATAACTACAGAGTCAAAATAATTTTCGAAGTAAAGGAAACAAAACATCAGAACCATACATTTTACACCAACAGTCATATGACTAGTGATGTTAGATTTACAAACTGGCCATTTTTAGGCTTAGATCTAGTACCTTCTTTTATCTGTGTCATCTTTTTACTTCAATAATAAAAATGTTACAAATGTTTTCTTCACTTAAGTATCTCATAAAAAAACAAGATTAAAATTTTTGAAGGTTGGTTAGTTTGCTCTTTGCTGCTTCAGATAATCTGACTTCATACTAAAATCTGCTAGCGTTCAATACTCAAATGCCAATGTAAGTAAAATGTCACTTAGCAATTCTATAAAACTGACTAGTAAATTTCCACAAATATAGAGAGCGTGTGGTAGAGTTAATGGATGGCTAGATGAGGACTCAGAAAACTTGGTTTCCAGAACTGAATTTTTAGGAATTTACAGCTCTTTGATAAACCTGAATTAAATTTCCTTGTCTCCAAGTGTGTGACAATCAAATGAAATAATCAGTACATTATCACAAAGCATTGTAAATTGCAATATTTTTAGTTATGAGGAAAGTTCAGTTAAGTAGCTGTCTTGTGAGATAAGATGAGTTCAACTTTAGACTTGAGTTTGAAGTGACAATGTGATATGTGAATGTTCCTTTCTAATTCAATCACATTGTAGTTTGCAGTTGAAAGCTCTTTCCAGTGGTTTGGCTTCAACCATCAGATTCTTGGCCTAATATTCCCTTGGCTTATTTCTCAGTAGACAGTTTTAACCACAGCAGGGAAAATGAGTCCTTAATGACTGCTTCCCAAGCTAATCAAACAGAAAGTCTTAATTTGCTCTTCATCTCTGGATCAGCCATGAAGTCATGGCTGTTACTTGGAACCTTCCATGAGAAGCAAGAGACACAAAAGGTCCACATAGCACACCCTTATGCTAAAAGCAAAACTCCTCCCTTTCCTGATTGAATTTAATTTCAGCCCTCATTTCCTACTATATTTGAGAAATCTGAGATCTGACCATCTTCCTGCTTCCACCTCCTCTATGAGCTTCATGGTGGGGTGCTACTGGTTTTTAGTTCTGACACCAACAAGATTTGCCATCTTGGCCAGGGCATTAACTCAACTTTTCTTCCTCTTGGATTCTTCATCAGAGGAGTGACCTGAGCAACAGGATCATCTCCACTGTCTCTCCTAACCCTTCCCACTTAGTGTACTTAAAATTTATGGACAAGCCATTAGTAGAGTCTGTCCCTTTCTAGGATACAGGGTTACCACAGGTAGCTTTGCAAGGATCTTTTACTACTAATAAAAAAATTGTTCACAAAGTTAAGAACAACAGTCGCAAAAACAAAAGAATGAAAGTGGTTTCTTGGTATTGTCCACCATAACATGCCCAGTTGCTGGCTTAAAAGCCTAGCAGTTGACTTTATAAGTGAATTGTGTTCATTTCAAATGACTTGATATATGTAGAAACACTGACTGTAAGACCCCAACACTAGCTCTCAGCATGCGAAGCAAACTGCAGTCTCTTAGCTCTTAGACATTTTCCCAAGTTATCTGTTCTTCATACTTTTGCCACAGGCTTATTTTTTTCCTTTCAAAATTGAAAACTCAAGTGTTTGTTTTTTGATTCTAAAAGTAAACACTTATTATTTTGTGGTCCTGGGGATTGAACTCAGGGCCCTTGCACTTGATAGAATAATTTATTTATCTTATTTATGGATATTTCTAACACATTAACAAAACAGAATGTCAACAGAGATAGTATTTTATATATATATATATATATATATGCATATATGTATATACAAATACATAGTATTTTTGGCTATACTATAAGCTACTTAACCAATTTTCTATTGCTGGACATTTATGGATATTTCTAACACATTAACAAAACAGAATGTCAACAGAGATAGTATTTTATATATATATATATGCATATATGTATATACAAATACATAGTATTTTTGGCTATACTATAAGCTACTTAACCAATTTTCTATTGCTGGACATTTAAGATTTTTTTCCAACATTATATTCTCACAAACAGTGCTTCATGGCCTGCGTGTGGTGGTGCGCATCTGTAATCTCAGCTACTTGGGAGGCAGAGGTAGGAAGATCTCAATCTAAGGCTAGCCCAGGCAAAGTGTGAGATCCTATCTGCAAAACAAACTAAAAGTAAAAAGGGACTGGGTGGGGGCATGGCTCAAATGGTAGGGCACTTGCCTAGGAAGCACAAAGGCCCTGAGTTCAGTCCCCAGTACTGTCCCAAATGCCAAGAACAAATAAACAAACAAACAAAAACAAAACAGTGTCACTGGGACGTCATAACAGATACACTTTTACTATTTGTGCAATTATTTATTTGGGAAAACTTTTCAAAAGCTAGTTTGTGTATTTAGTAAGAGTATGCTTTGTATGGAAATGTCATAGTGAAACACCTTAATATGTACAATTTAATATACACAAATGAAAAGATTGTCAATAGAAAAAAAGAGTATGCTTTCTCTGGAGGCTTTTGATGTACATTGATAAACTGCCTGCCAGAAAGGTACAGAACATCAGCAATGCAGGAGAGTTCTACTTTCACCATAAAGCAGGTTTGTTCAAGAAGACAGACAAGCACCCAAGATCCTTAATATATCCAAAATGATGCCAGAATCTCTGCTTTAGGCTCCAGTTAAAGACAAATGTTAACATTTCTCATTTTCCACCCACTTAAAGCTATGTGAAATGCTGCTGACAGGAAAACCATACCTCGCCGAGTCC